ACTTATAACTTTTGATTTTTTCCCTCAGGAACAAGTCCAGGAACAACACCAGGAACCACTCCGGCTACAACACCTGCAACAACACCTGGAACATAGCCAGGAACGACACCCGGAACAACACCTGGAACAACACCTGTGACAACGCCAGCTACAACACCTGGAACAACACCTAGAACAACACCAGGCACAACACCAGGTTAGGTCAAGTTTTGTTTGGGGTTTAAAGTTAGACACACTACTGTACTTTCAAGGAGTTGGGTTCTCTGAATGTCATTTCCAATGCCAAACGGCAACTAATAATCAAGTAAACTAAGCACACAAATCTTGAATATATTTAGTTCTTTATTAATACATATAACTTTTGATTCTTTCCCTGTTCCAACTCCTTTGAATATTAAAACACGTACAATCGCAAATAATGTAATAAACAACCATATTTACTTTGTTATTACCCTATTATCACTTGATCCATTACTTTTTGCGTGTAATCCTTATGGGAGATGACTTTTTCTCAAATCTGGATTCTACATTCTTGTCTTTTGCGAGCAATATCGCCGTTATTTCGGCTTGATTTTTGTTGATTTTTTAGTATGTTGTAGCTGAGACTATATACTATCTAAATGTTCTCTCATTTTTTTTCAGTCTGATGTCATCGTGGTCTGTTGATGATAATCATCATCATCATGATGATGATCATCATCATCATCGTCATCCCCATTACTATCAATTAGATCATCATCATCATGATCATCATGATGATCATCATAGTTTACATGTCTATATAACTTCTCCCTTTCTCAATATAGTAAATATTATAATCTATCATAAGACTTGAAGACAGACCACCTAATTCGTCCCCATGACGAATTAAATTTCTAGTTTTTAATTGAAATCGCTATTACGTAATATTACATAATACATATATTAGGTAATAGTGATTTTAATTTTAAAAATTTATACCTTTCTTACAATTTATCAGATTAAGTTCAAACTTTGACATTATACATGTATATTCCTCTGATCTTCCTGCTTTCTTTCAGACCAAATGTGGTCCAATGAGGAACACGTTTAATACATAACACATACAAAAACAATTATAACGAAATTATAGACATATTTTAACAGTGACTGAAATTCAATTTTAATATGTTCTAAAATCATTATAATATATACATCATACCATTTATTAAATCAATATCTATATTTCACGACTACTATGGTTAAAATAGTAATAAACGACATTTTTCATATTAAAAAGAAAACACAGAAGTTGGTTTTAACTTACAGAGACACATGTACCCTTCATATAGATAGCTTCTTTTCTATAGGAAAAGAATACATCTGTATATTTATATTCAATCCCATACTAGCTCTTTCCAGAGGTTAGTGGAGATGGAGAAGAAAGGTGATTACTAAATTATTTCATTACCACTAAATATCATTTACAGAAATATATCATTTTTCCAATGAAAGAAAAAAGGTCAATTCAATAATACTATGACAAGCAGTATCAATTAATTTGTCAAGTACTCATGATAAATTCGTTTAACCGTTGATTCCCCTTAGTTGATTCTTTTGTTCGGATTATTTTGCGGGGAGAAATAGAAGTGAACGGTGTCACGCTTAACAATGTTTTATTATTATTCTTATTTGTTCTTCGTCTCTACAATGCTCTTTGAATTAAAAACGGCTTTTAGTGTTAGCCTTCCGGAAAGAAATTTTGATTGTTGTTAAGAAAATTTTGGTTGCACTCTGTAGATTATGATGACGTGTTTGATCTCATTTTCAATAACAAGATCAAACGCATGACGAAAATCTACTGGGTGCATGCCAATCAGTTCTTTACAACCAGTGGCGTACCTGGGGTACTCCGTCAGGGGGGGGGGGGCAAGCGACCGAAACAAACAAAAAAGGCGATGCTAATTTTCACTTCTGGCGAGCGAGCGAGCGAGCAAAAAAAATCTTTAAGTAACGTTTGGTATATAAACTGGTATTGTTGCAAGTTTGGGGTGGGAACATTCACTTGTTAGCAACGTTAATTTCATTTTTTTGCAAACTAGTGTAGCGAGCAAGAAAAAAATCACTTCTTTTTTAATAATTGCCACTTAAACTTGGTTCAATTGTCCCATGCAGGGCGCGGGAACAATATTGTGTTTAGGGTGATTGTTGCAGGTAGGGGGCGGGCACACTCGTGTTTAAGGCAATGTCAATCCCATTTTGGCGGGCAGGCAACCCCCTACATTTCTCTTTTTAATGATATTGTAGCAGGTTAGTGGTGGGCGTAGCGAGCGAAAAAAAAAATCACTTTTCTTTTATAGGGAAAATATGGTACATAAAACTTGGGTTCATTGTTCCATGTCAGGGACGTGATTATTAAAAGCGGTGTTAATTCTATTTTGGCGAGCGAGCGTAGCGAGCGAGCAAAAAAAAATCACTTCTCTTTATAGGGAAAATATGGTATATAAACTTGGTTTAATTGTTCCATGTCAGGGACGTGATTATTAAAAGCGGTGTTATTTCTATTTTGGCGAGCGAGCGTAGCGAGCGAGCAAAATTTTTGTAATGATAATTGGTTCATAAATTTCAGATTTTTTTGTTGCAGGGCAGGGCTTACACAATCATGTCTAAGGTGATGTTAATTCCCTTTTGGCGAGCACGAGCACACCAAAACTTCTTTGAATAACGTTTCGTACATAATTATTAACTGGTTGTTGCAGGTTGGGGCGGGCACGTTAGCGGTGTCAATTCCATTTTGGCAAGCGAGCATAGCGAGCAAGCAAAAAAAATAAATTCTCTTTTAATAGAAATTAATAAATAAACTTGTTTTTATTGGTGCAGGTCAGGATGGACGCAATCGCGTTTAACGCGATTCAATTCCTTTTTGGCGAGAGGGCGAAAAAACTCTTCCATTTTTAATGATATTGTTGCAGGTCAAGGGTGGGCACAATTGTTTCCAAAGCAATGTCTATTCATTTTATTCGCGAGCGAGTGTAGCGAGCGAGAAAAATGAATTAGTCTCTTTTAGTAACATTTGGTACATATATTGTGTGTTATTGTTGCCATGGTTGCAGGTCGGGGCCCGTCGGGGCAGGCACAATTGTATTCTAGGCAATACTAATCCTTTTCTCTTTTCAGGGGGACGAGGAAGTGAAAACATTTAATACAAAATAGGCTAGCAAGCAGTTCGCGCCAGCGAAGAGTTTCAAATTTGTTATATCACTTATAATAATAATAATAATAGTGGCTACTTGTATAGCGCACAGGTCCACCTTTCGGTGCTCATGGCGCTTAGAAAAGAGTACATGTAACAGGCATAAGAAAGAAAAAACAATAAACCGAAAAACAAATTCGGAATTCTCCTAGACATATTAAATTAAAATATTGCGATAATTACAACGAAAGAAACAAATAGGTTTTTAGTTGTAATTTGAATGTTTTTGAATATTTTCCTATTTTCATTTGTTTTAATTTTTCAGGGCCGTATGCTAAATATTTTTCTGATGGGGGAAGGGGGAAAGATGCGTTAAAAGTTTTCGAAGAATCTCAAAAGCAAAAGGAGTGAAGGGAGTTCGAGCGACCGAACTGGTCATGAGGGTACTTTTGCATTTTCAAAAGTAGAATTGAAGGATTTGGTATAGGCCTACACTACATTTTCAGGAAAAAAAAATGTACGATTTCAAAATATCTGGGGTCAACTGCCCCCCCCCCCTGGTGCTTACGGTCATGTTCTTTATTTTTTTTCCCCATTTTTATTCCTTTCCTTTTCTTTTCCCTTTTTCTTCCTTTTCTCTTCTTCTTCCTTTTTTCTTTCCTTTTTTTCCTTTTTTCTCTTTCTTTCCTTTTTTCTTTCCTTTTCCTTTTTTCTTTTTCTCTCCTTTCCCTTTCTTTTCTTTTCTTTCCCCTTTTTCTTTTTTCCCCTGGAGCCCGTCAGGAGGGGGGGCACTCTGCCCCCCCCTGCCCCCCCCCATAGGTACGCCAACAATAAACAAAAATGAGATGCTATTCACATGGTAGATACAATTATGATCATCAGTACTGGGTATGATAAATTCAAGAGAACTGAATTTTTAACCCGGGCCATAGGCTACCCCCTCTCGTTCTCTCTCTCTCTCTCTCTCTTCATCTCCTAATTACTTTTCCTTCTCTTACCTCCCTGTGCATTTGTATGCCTCGATAATACAGAAAATAAACAAGATTCTTCCTCTTCCCCTCCTTCTCCCTAGTACATATAAGAGTAGTATCAGCAGCAGTATCACAATAATAATGATAACAATTATTATTATTATAACTATTATTATGGTTGGTGGTGTTACCAATGTTATTTTTTGCAATTATTATAATTGTTTTTGTAATTATTATCATTATTTTTATAAAATATTATTTTCATTATTATCATTATCATGATTATTATCATTAACATGATCATTATTGTCCCATTATTATCATCATTATTATTGTTATCATTATGATGACTATGAACATGATTATGATGACGATTAATATAAGTAGTATTATATACTGCATCAACAATTTGTTGGCTTTTGATTGGTTGAGAGCTCGTCACATGACCAGAAATATGTGAACGATTTTTAGAAATTACTATACGAGAGTACTATTTGGGGGGACTATTTGGGAGTTGGAAAAAAAAAGGTGATTTTTTTTGTTGTTGTTTGTTCTTGTTTTTTGAATTGATTTTTTTTCCTTTTTTAAAAAATATTTTAAATATTTTTAGATAAAAATTAACGTTTTTTTTGTTCTAAATTTGTTTTTCTTCCCAAAAATTTTTTTTGTTTGTTTTGTTAATAAAATAAATTTTTGATGCAGGATATAAAAAAAATATATCATGCCTTCTATTCGAGGTACTGGTTAAAACTATGGGCCTCAGTGACTCCAAAAGTACCATTTGCTTCGGCGCTGCGCCTTTCAGCAAATAGTACTATTGGAGTCACCTCTCGCGCATAATTTTAACCAGAACCTCTCAAGTGCATATTTGTATATTATTTTAATTATTATCATATCATTATTATCATCTGAATTATCAGCCTAATCAACAATGGCAGTAGTGTAGTATAGTACATGTAGAAGTAGGCCTAGTAGTACACTGTACTGTCAGGTATCATTTTGATCCTTATTATCCTGATTATTTTTTTGCAATACGTCTAGAGGATAAACTCATGGCAATTCATAATTTGTCACGAATCATTGTCTTTAAGCTTACCATTATATGCATCTGGCTCGAATGTTGCTTAGGTATTTGGTACTGGATGAAAATGGTAAAAATTAACTTGTGTCCTATTCATTATAGTCTTATTCATTTGCATTATGTTTTATTCATTCAAGTTCTAATGTTTCTGACTGTTTTAAAGATAATATCTTTTTTGTCGATCATATTTCTATGTAGCTTAATATATCATGGTAATTTTGAGAGGAAAGCACTCAAAGCAACGATTTCCGAATTTCTGACAATCGTTCGCCTTTGCTGCTCTTCAATATGAAGCATAAAGCTAATACTGGATGCATGCTCACGAAAGTTCTGTAATCATTATTCATGCATGCACCTGTCATACATTGATGAACATAGGTGGGCGTAATCCTTTCAAGAGGGCAAACAAAGAATCACCTCCATGACTTTAGCTGTGATTATTCCAAAAGGCACAAAGTGGGATGTATCTATGTTTAAAAGATCTGTGGATATTAGGGGTCATCTGAACCTTGTGGTAACTACGAACTAGTCTATTGTCTGTGAGCTAGCTAGACTCTTCGCGAAGTCAGCTGCATGGTCGGGCGCTCGTGTTCACTTAAGCTCATGCATGAATAATAATGAACGAATCTTGGAGCCCATGTCAACCGAGTGTTCCTTTTATATAATGGCGAAAGCGGCGGATTTCAGACCGTTGTATATTTCCATTCCATCTCGTCTTTGTCTTGCGATGTCGAACCTTGTGTTGGCAAAGGATGCATCTTTACAAATCCCTGGACGGAAAAGTGAAAGATAAAAATATAGACGTGGTAGAGTTCGAACTGGAATCATGAAATCAAGGACACTGAATTCAAAAGGAAAGTATAGTTTCTTCCACCATTATAATATCCATGCATTATGATATTGTGTTAACAAATTCAATAATTCTCTAGAAAGTATGAAGATATCATCAGACTCTAAAACAAAACATCATACATGATTTGTGATAATAATATAAAAATTGCTTAACCATATAGCACCTAAAAGTCACTTTCGCATGAAAAATAGAAGTATTATTCCAATACATGGTAATTGACCTCGAGTGTCATATTGTGCAGAAGGAAGACAGAGAGGTGCAAACTTTCCTAAAAACCGATATTGTCAAAATCTTTCGATTTAAAGGGATAGTTGAGTTTTGTTGCAGAGGGCGCTACACTAAATCTTTTTGGGTGAGATAATGAAAAACTGAGGGTCAAATTTAATAGAACATACAACTTAATTGACAAAATCATGTTTGTTTGATCAAAATCGGTTCAGAGACGTCTGAAATATCCGTAAATATAATTAGTTCTAATATTTGTGGTGCCCCACAACTATTCGATGATTTGAATCAGCCGTTGAAAAAAAAACGAGATGCGCCTTATACGTTTTTATTCCAGCCAATGCCGATGTTGGCTTTTTCGTGTTGGCTATAATACGCACAACCATCCGGCAAGTGTATCGTTATTATTAATTAATTAAGGGTCATCGTATTTTTTTAAAGTGGAGCTGAATCCGTATGATCGTATTGGCTAAATTTCACACATTTTGGGGTGACATAGCAATTTTAGGTCCTAAAAGAGCACTAGAAATGTCATAATGAGAATAAGAGCAATAATCATGTGTTTTGAAGGCATTTGCGGGTCTGAAACAAGAACTCAACTATGCCTTTAATCAATATAAACAACTTTACCTCTTCTTCCTTTTTCTGTTTGCGAACAGAGAGGAAAGCTACAACAAAGAAACTAAAGGCTAGAACTCTGCCGCATGATGAAAAGAGTGTGAAGACCAGTCTGAAAGCTTTGATGTCATAAACTAGGCAGTTTCCAGTCTTTCCGCAGGATTCTTGAAACAAGAGACATGTCTTTTCGATGATTGCTCCAAAATAAACCGGTCCGGGTATAAAGGCTGCAAACAAATTATGATAATAATGAAGATAGTAATCATACTTGTGCATACCGCTCAGACTAATGCCTCTGTACATGGTCTTTATGTGCTTTAAAAAAGTTATTACCCGACATCAATATCGGTGAATTGCAAGGGATAAGTCATATCAAATGCACATAATTCTGGGTCGAAAGAGGCAAATGTTTATTAGACGGTCCCATCAACTTCTGAACACTGTACCACATTGCCTATCGGTTCAAATTTCATTGGTCAGATGAGATGTGACAAAGACTCAAATGTCCCATTGGACCGACTGAATATAGGATATTCCCAACATAATAAGTAATTATCACGAATAACATGATTATCATCATGGATTTTGGTAACGTGGATATGTTTCAAGAGTTTACTCTCAAAATTATATGCCAAGTCCGGGTTAAGTTACCGTCATCATGAGATGGCGCTGTGTTTTTCCTCAGCGTGTTTGAGAACAATTTTGTGTTTAGGTTTTTTTTAAATTCTGTGCTAGTAGTGTCGATCAACTGTACTATTTCGTTTCATAGCCATCATTCCTTCACTAAAAGCGTACTCATCATGATTAGCATTGGAATTCAGTATGAGATTGATTGTGAGTATATCATCATGTGTCTAAAAATGCTTACAAATAACGTGGATGAAATGCTATCGGTTAAATTCAGTCATTAACATTTTCTTACCGAGAAGTTTCATCAGAACGTTACTAAATCCAAGGGCTGTAGACCGGTCCTCTTCTCGATGTGATCTAAAGAACAGAATACAGAATACAGTTAGAGAGCAGGGAGAGTGTCTTTGGTTTCATAAATTTCCAGGAAAGCACAAATATAAGATGACACGGTTCGGTAGGAGGCTCTCCTCATTGGTTGATGGTATATAACATAACTATACACAAATATACATAAATATACATAATTACCTAATATATATTATGTCCTAGGGTAGTGGGTAGTTAATAGGGCCATTTTCCTGGGTGGTAGAATATTAAAAAATAACCGATTTCATCGTTTTGAATGGTAAAAATACACTAAGACATAGTGGCGTGGCTACAGGGGGCACGTCATATCCCGTCCTAATTGAGTGGTGAATAAATAAAAGAAAACGTGAGAAAAAAGAAAAAGGAAAAGGAAGGGGGGGGGGGTGTGCGTTAAAAGCAGACGTCAAGACCACCTCAATCATAGCCTCCCCAATCAGTATAGTTTGTATTCGCATTTTATTTTCCGAGTAAAACCCTGCCCCCCCCCCCCTCCTTCGTTCCAATTCCCCCTCAATGGATGGACTCACAATTTTCCGCTGTTAAAATACGATATGAAATCTCGTGTTTGTAGACTTTTGTCAAGTTACCGAAATTGAAGCATAAACGCTGGGTTGTAGACGGTGGATCCAAGTAGGGACCCGAAAAGCATCATTCCAAGAAAATAATAGAGTTTATCGCAAGACCATGGGCATTCTGCGGGATAAGCGAACCCGCTACTCAGCTCCTCTATCCCAACGATCACCGTAGAGTTAGATTTCATCTCAGGGATGCAGCTACACTCCACGAAGATCTGTATGGTTGATATGAAAATCAGTGATGACACTTTGAATTTCATTATCAAAGACACAGACACTTTTTATCGTTTGGGAGACCAATGATGTTGCCACTATATCCTTTAGATTAAGCTATGTGGCTGTCGTCTCCATTAAATTTCTAGTCTGCGATATTCGAAACCAAGATAAGCGATTGAGGAAAATGTTAAAGCTACATTTTATCTTCAAAATGTAACAATCTTTTTATTAAAATGCCTTTATCCCCCCCCCCCCCCGTAGTCATTGGGCGTCTAAAGACCCTAGCCCTTGTCTAATATACCTATGTTTGCCTAGATTATTGAATGCCTTTAAGTTGAAAGAACATTGATATTGTCCAATACTGAACATGAAATCTGACTTGCCAACTTGTCGGCAAATTTTCTTTTAATTGACCCTGTTATACATGTTCCAGGAAATTTGCTTTTATAGTAAAAAAAAAAAAAAAAATACATTTCAGGATTGTTGTAATTACCGTTGAATTAACACCATCCACATCAACCATCACAACATCCCTGCAGCCTGCGTGACACGCCGTGGCGTACGTCAACCCGTCCGATCCACACACAGGCACAAAATCTGGGGAGCAGTTACATTCCACATTACAGCTCGCAGTGAGGTCGTCTGAATACTCAACGTTAGTTGGTAGCGTGGCAAATGGCAGAGGACTGTTGACAGAATAAGGAGAAAACAAAATGATGAGTTATGAATTGTGATGATTCGTTTTTCTAATTCATTGATTACAGAGTCTATACGTCAAATAACTTTTGAGTTTTTTTGAAGCAGGCGAGGAATGTGAACATTTTGAATTGTCCAAATACCTTATCAAAATCCTCTATTAAAAAAAAGAACTAGAAAGAAATTGAAAGAAGAAATGGTGGTTTCAAATACAATGTATCCATAAACGTTTGGGAGGAACTGAGCTGTGTCGCCCCTGAAAGGGCACATTCTTTTCATGTTTGTTGCCGAGTCATTAACCCATCTCCCTGAACATATTTAAATAACAACAAGCAATGAATCTCCCCTCAACACCATAGACCAGAATGCATGAAAGATTTCATAGCTACGCTAGCTGTATAGTCCAGGTGCAAAGTATCCATATTATTTATTACCTTTAATCGTTGTTAAGTAGCAATATTACCCCAAAAGGTAAATGTGGTATATGAAAACAAATGAAATAGCTAAATCCACTTACCTAACTCCGCTGGGGTCGGTGTGGTAAGGAACCACAAGACCGGCATTACTTGGGTTGTCACACCCTAGCCAATAGAGCAGCGGTGAGAGAATGACAAGTACTGTGTATATCATGAGGATCATCTTAGCACAACCCTTACTGTCTAATTTGAATTTCCGAACGATAAGACTTGCGAAGAGGTTACCAAAGATGGGCCCAGGGAGCATCATCATACCTAGGAAGGGGGAAATAGAAAAGGCTGTTTTATGAAAAACTATCTCAAAGAGATATCTTGGACGTTATAGTCACATTATTTGGAGAGTAGTACGGGTCTAAGTGAAGTGAGCTCGCATATTTTAATGATTCATTTGTTATTCACTGATATTATGATACCCAGACTATATCCTTTTCGGTGTCGTTGAATCTTCGTAAATTGTCTCTTTACGAAACTAAGAATTCCAACAAAATATCAAGTCAGTGTCAACGATGGTTCACAACGCCTTTTTTTTTCTTAGACAGATCATTTGTTTTTAAATAAAAGAATATTCAATAATAGACGATTACTTTTACCCCCAATATGATCTATTGCTTTTCCAGAGAATTGATTTCATTTTCTTACCAAACAACATAGACGACTTGGCTGGTGGGAGTCGGAACTGGGTATACATGAACTTTGGCCCAAAGATAAACCATCCCACGTGCCCGCTTATCTCAGAAGCTGTCGCAAGGAACACAGACATTGCTGTAACGTTGGTGATGATTCTTTTGAGGGTTTGGAAGAAGTCTGTAAAGATAGAAACATTAGAAATAGTAATGCGATTTTGGATGTTATAAATGTAGTTTCAGAGTTATTATTCTCATGCAGTGGGTTAGGTATACAACTGGATGGAAGAACAGCTTGGCAAAAACCAATTTGCAAGGACTAATGGGAGAAGAAAGAGGGGCAGACCAACTAGGACGTAGAATAATAACATTAAGCACTCGACGAAAATGTCATTAAGCAGTTAACTTCCAAACCTGAAGACAGAAAGTTATTTAGAGCCTGTATCTCACGGTCTATTTCATTGTCGCTTCTTCAAGCCTCCAAGCTATAGGACATAGATAAATAGATAATTTTTTTGGACAACTATAATAAAGTATAAGCAAAAGAAGTGTCACGTAAATAAGAAACTTCATGCTCAGCTTTGAATAACATGTTGAGACCCAATCTTTGGCTCAAAGTAGACTTGAAGAGTTTCCTCATATCATTATGGTTTAAAACTGGTGATGAGCGAGTAAGCACGTACCATCAAATTGTATTAAGCTCTACTTCTTTACTTCAAGAGTTAATAATGAATAACTAATTGCAATATGAAATTTCAAACGATGGCATTCAGATATATTTTCGATAGTCTAAAAATTTAATTGACATTGACATTTCTGATGATCGAGGATAGTCACACCGCTGAACTTTGCTAATTTCGATAACCCTCATGCAGTGATGAAATATAGGTTATTGTCCTTTGATGATAATTATCGTCATCGTTTTTATGGTATATTTAAGAGACTTTTTATGTAAATGTTATTATCTTTGAGAATAACCTTGATAGGCCATTGGCCTCTGTTTTTCCCACTACATTATGATTTAAATTGAAGATGTTTCATTTTAACGTTTGTTATTGTATATATGCATATACATTGTACTTGTTTTTTTTTTTAATAAATCAGATGTGGAAATAAAACCTAAACTTGAACTTGATCTTCTTCATTTGTGTATCACACTATTTGGAATATCGTTTCCATGTAAAACATCAAATAAAAGAGAAATCCTTAAATAAAAATTAAATTAGCTACGTTTGCAGAGGTTTAAGAGAATTCCTATGGTGAATTGTACCTGAAATAAAACTGCTTAGGCCTAATTGATTCGGCCGAATCTCTTTTTTCGTTGAATACATCGTATGGCTGTCGTCATCCCCTTCTCCCTTTCTATTTTGTTCAGTTGATTTCACTTCACTGCTTCGATCAGCGGCATCATCAGGGACTTCATTCCTGACCTGTCTCCGCATGGTCTTCGGGAAGAAGAAGAAGGGGATGCTGACGATGAGGAGCATGCCGCCGTTAATGAGGAAGCCCAGCCACCAGGCCCCGATGTAGTACGGGTGACCCTGAGGGACCGCAGGTGGAGGAACCGAAGGGTCATAGAAGAAGGTTGGGCGAGACAGGCAGGTGGTTGCCAACATGAAACCCGTCGTAGGTCCTAACGCAAACGTGCTGAAGATGATGCCTGCATAACATAGAGGAAAAGGTATGTTTGATTACCAGATAACAGCGAGTCTCGGGCAAGTACAATCCTGACTACGACCCTGGATAAATATCTCCTAGAATATATAATTTTAGATAAACCTCTAGTAGAAATAAGACTAAAAGCGTCGGACAACACCAGCCTATATAAGACAGTTAATCAACCTTACGCTGTTGTCCGAGTGGCCCTTTATCGGACACTTGAACAGGGGAAGGATGAACATGAAAACTTCCTTCAATGCTTTCAAACTAATTACTTTCAGTGGATTATTACAAAATATTATGAACTTCATCATCAAAATGCAGAGTCATCACAGATAATTGTGTACATGTACGTCTGTCGTTACTCATATCCTATTACATAATCCTATACTAAGAATCATTGTACGAAAAAGTGCATTACTCTACATGATCAGATAAGCTTCTCACCAACAAATATCGTTGTATTCCGTTTGTTCTTCACATTGTCATCTAGGTATGTGATACAGAGAGGTTGTGCGCAGCTTCCAAATCCGCAGAGAATTTGCCCGAAGAGTATCCAACCGACTTGCCAGATCAAAGACCCTGATGTAGACTTCTCAGTAGCATCACACTGCTCGGCTATACGAACGTGTAACAGAATAATGATAGATGCCATAAAATAATTTAAAAGAAACATGCAGGAGCAGATCCAAGATTTCAAAGGGGGTGGGGAATAATTACGAAAATTACTAAATGGGCGTTTTTTGTTTGTTGCTGTATACTTGAGGTATCCCATATGATTTTCAAAGGGGAGGGGATGGAGGCAAGTTGCCCCCTCCTCCATAAATCTGCCACTGACTCATGTATAAACGGAAAATATGTTCAATTACATCATAAATCAATTTCTTCTTTTTTTTCACTTCAATCGCAATGTAAATAAAAAATAAATTGTAGAAGCAAAATCACTATATTTTTTACATTTCTTTACGGTGTACAGGAAACATACATTTTGTTTGATATTTATTTGACAAAAGCAGATGTTCAGAAACATTCTTCCCCCTTTCCTAGCTGGGAAGGATTCCAACTCCCTTCCCCATTTTCTGTTCTTGATTATACACCACTGAATTTTTTACTTTTAGACAATGACATGTAATTTTGTCTTTGTATGTCTGTCTGTCTGTTCTTATTGAAAGGTAGTCTCAAAAGAAAGTATCATTTGACGGAAGGGTTCAGAACTTAGTGGAGATTTTCAACAAGTTGATTTTCTATGTTTTCAATTATTGGTCTGGTATAGCAATAAAAACCCGATTATGGAGCGTGTAATGTCGCCTTAATTTTAAAACTTATTTCTAGGGTGTTTAACACAATTCAAATACACCTAATCAATGAACGTAGAAAAATTCATTGTTCTTATTTACATCCATCTGCAAGAAACATTGTATAATTATGTTGTTTGTTTTATCATCCCTACTACTTTCAAACCATATTTCTCTATATATTCTGTTTCATCTTGAACCCTGGACTTCGAGAAGTAGATAGGTAAACAACATTTCAGGTTGTTACTAGATCGTATCACCTACTTGAAAATAGATTATTAAAATATTTGTCAATTTAGCATCCGTGTCATCGGGAGCATCAATTTATAGAGCGTGTAGGATGTTATCATTTTTTTTTTTAATGGAAATATTTCAATCTTGTTTTGCTTTCATTTTTTTCAAACGAGTGACATCACCAACTTGATATTGAAATTATGCCAACAGCAGAGAGACATGCAAAAAGTTTTCTTTTCGCTTGGGCTGCGTTAAACCAAATTTTCTTACTCATTGATACAGGTCGTTAAAGTCGCATAATGCAAGATGATTCATTCATGTGCCGATTTCCCGAACATTATTTGAAATGTACAGTGATCAAGGAAGTCAGTGTGGGGAAGAACAGAATAATACAAAAATTAGTGGGAAATATATTGATTCATGAATGTTATTAAAAGCTATAAAAGCAGTCACGCTTTGATTACTACCACTGACACAACTTGTACCACAATCACTACCCCTCTCTCCCATCGTCCAGAGAGGCATACAGTAGGTACTATTCTCATTGGTCCGATTAAACATAAACCTAACTCAAAGCCAGGAATTATAAGGATGCAAAGGACTAACCGGACTTAAGGATGAAAACATGTATTTGTTCAAGTCCCTTCGGTTCTATGAAAATCTTATACCTAACCTTATACGATGTCGGCCATGTCCTACTAACTGAATTATTATGATCGTGATTATTGCTTATATATCTCTCTGATGTCACAAAAAGTACATACATCGAATGGAACTTACTAAAAAAAACACATCCCCATTGATACTTACGTGGTTGGGATGGACCAAGTGAATCTTCTGGATAACACATATCCTGGATAGCCCAATCTCCACCACCTGTCGAAGTGGTACCGTTCGAACCCCCCAATCCAGACATCTTCTGCATCATGGCAACCGGTGGGTCGAAGAAGAAATGAGGTAGAGCGCAAAGAATTGTTCCAAGACCTGATATGGCAAACGCCGTACCTACAGAGGAGTGATTACATGATGAATATATATTTAGGTCATTGCTACTATGATCGATTTCATAAATTTGTCAGAGTCGGAGCCGAGATGGATGCACTCTGCGGCACAGATTGCTTTTTTTCTATGTATATATTCCATCATAGCTCTACATGCATGCTTTTTTTCTTCTTAGATTGAAGGATGGGGTTACGTGATGTTTCCCCCATAAAGTTATGAGGGCGTCAGCCGCTGTTTGGGATGAGGGCAGCTTCAATCAGATACATGATAACCTAGGCATATGACACAATTTGGTCATTGTTCCTATGTAAACATTGGTCCTTTTTTAAAAAATAATTGTACGCTACCGCATATTCTTAATATCACCTAACCAAAACAAAAAAGCCGATTCATCAGGAGTTAACATTAATTCCAAATCACGTAAAGACCTCTTTCATTGATATGGCAGTATTGTTGTCTTTTGATCCACACACACAAAAATTAAGACCGATTCGCGTTTCTGATGTACTTGAATTTACAAAAAACTATCATTCAATCATTTTGCACGAAATCATTAGTAATCTTTACAAATATCTTTAGAGAAAACAAAAGATCTTATAACTCTTCATTCATCAATCTTTTTACAATAAGGAAGACTCCTACAACTTGCCGGCGATTCTGGGACGATGCCGTGAGTGACCGAAGTGGGTGACGAAGAGGATGGCGAGCATTCCAGCGACATCGTTGATAATGGTGATTGCTCCAGACTGGGAGCTCTTGAGCTGAAAGCGTTGCTCAATGGTGCTGAGAGAGGCACTTACATAGCCACCGATAGATGAGATATACACGACGTTAGCAATGCAAGTCATGGTCACGTAGACCCAGGGATTGAAGAACGGGTGAGGTTCTATGATTATTTCATCTGTAGATATACATGTCAGAAATAGCATCATTATTTCATTTTTCTTCTCTAAATAATTAGTTCAAGTTCATTCTAAAGAATGGATGGGGTAATATGACGGTTTCATCAGTAGGAATGTTCCAAAAACAACAATTTAAAATTATTTATCACATAATTACTTCAAGTTCAATTTCAAGTCAAAGGTTATAGTAAAGGGGGAACACTGTCATATCAAGTTAAAGGTTCGATGCTTTCATACAAGAGGTCGTACAGGTTCGATCCTTGCTCTGTGTTTACACCCTTAGACAATATTTTACCCCTATTTTCCCCTCTCAACCCAGGTGTATAAAACGAGTGCCTTGTAATGATGGGGAAATAATAATTGCAGGGCCCTCAGGAAGAACAGTATTGATACTGACGAGGCTATCTCGGGTAAACAAAATTATACTAGTAGATATACACATTACATTTGAATTACGATCTTTCTTATTTAGTTTTCTGTCAGAAAACTTATCTGCAATTTTGTCCAAGAGCTGCCAGTCCCGTTAACATTCGAATCAAGAAAAATTAATTTTTTAACTGTTGATGACATGTTTAGAACAAGAACGTACATAATTGTAATTGTCATTTTCACTGCAAAATGAAAAGAGAAGAATAATTTATACCATCAAAAATTATCATCCTTTGGCTATCGAAGGGGGAATCGCCCAAATGATATGTTCCGAACAAGTTACGCTTTCGTTTTTTTTCCTCTTAAAATTCAAAATGGATTCATGAATGATATTATAAAGTTTTCATACCGTAGAATACTTTATCAAGATGAAAAACGATGGAAAAAGTAACTGTAACTAAATCTTTTAATTTGGGTTACAGAATAAGAGAATTATGATACAAAACTGTACATGATATAGATTCATACATTACCTTCTTCATTTCCATCTGTCACGTCGTTTTTTGATTTAACAGGAGATCCATTTGGAGTATGTCCTCGTTTTTTCTCCAAAGACAGAGTGTACTCGTCTAATTCCTGCATTGATCGCCATCTATCATCCAACGCCATCTTGAAATGGTCCTGTTTAACGGGGATTCCTTTCCACCTTGGGATCTCTTCTTTAGGGGTAGGAACTGTCTTTGGTGAATATACACGTACTTATATCGTTGTTCAGGACTTACGAATAATTGAGCAGTTCCAATTCCATGAAAATGCACGAATGAAATGTATAAATCCACAGGTATGTAGGATAGGCGAACCTAAAGCCAAAAGCTGTTGAAACTCAACATCAACACAAGAAGAATATTAGGAAGGCGTGTTTTAAACTTCCAGAATGACACTTCTGCGACATATACCAATGTAGTAATTCTTCGCAAGGTATACCTCCAGCTTAATCCACTATATGATTCGATGAGAAGTGTATTGATCGGTTGTGATTGAGGATACTATAGTCTCCACAGTATACTGCTCAAAGACCATGGTCATCTATCTCCTGAAATCTTTCTTCAAAATGTATCCGTGCAATTAACTCACAATAGTTGGTCCATCGATTTTTCATCCAATTCATGGTAAAACAATCCGAAATTATAAGGCGCAACTTCGTCGTTCTTGCTTGGGTGAATATTCATGACATGTAGGTTAACAAGAAAGTATGTATCCCATAGACGCACTAAGCAGTGTGAGTCGTTAGTTGTTTGTCATGTATATGGTTAACAAAGCAACGCCGTAGGTATGTCAATAGTTGAGAAGCTAGATGAAGCCTTGTAATCATGTCTGAAGCCCAGTCCGAAGCATTATTCCCGCATGACGTACAGAAGCCAAGCTAAGCATGAAAAAAGAAGTAGAAACAAATATCACAAGCAATTACTTCAAAATTCTTTTTCTTCTCTTTCCTTTCATCTTACATACCAAATACTGACAGTCTGATTTGAGATGTAACTATTTGTATTCCAATTACCCAGCTACTAGTTAGGAGCGACATCTGCTAGACCTGGACACGTGCGAATAATTTTACCATATGGAAACCATGGTTAAACTACCGAGATGACTTTGTTTATATATTAATAATTTGGATTGGACCTTGGACCTTATCAACACCCAAGAGTTGATAAGGTTTTGGAGGCAACCGATGAAATGAAACATTAAAGGTGTGGAGATTTATGATGAACCGGGACTATTTTGGCGAAGTTTTCATGCTTTGTTTCAATGATCGATGAAGAATATCATTGATCCCAAACTGTTCAATAAATAACAACGAAGAGTGATTGATAGATATATTAATGTGAAGTTTTTATTTTCCTGTCTATACTAAATTTAAGAAAGATGAGGGGGGCATCATTTGTATAGGATGCTCTTAAACTTTCCGGCGTGTCCATTTATTCCAAATATTTATTACAATTATCATTGAATTGTGTCCACCGACTGTAATACTACTCTTATAAATAAAAATAAATAATTTAATATTTCTTTCGATATCGACTCTTAAAAGTTTTATATTCTATATGGGTCCGTTTTTGTTAATATACACTAGGATATAATAGTTCAAATTATTTTGCATACATGAATCATAATGATTATCATCATACTATTCGGAGAATTATACCACGTTGAGTACTATACCCCGCGACAACGGTCCCAGACACCTATTCCAGTTGATAGGATAACAGCCCGGGCACAATAATCCAAAAGACAACTAACTATATGGGACAATTACCTTGGCACAATCGTATCCAAGGACAACCTTTCTCCCGGATAGATACTTCAATAGGGGGAAGAATATAGACATGTGTTGAATCATCATTCATTTGTTGTTTTCTGATAAAGACATAGTTTACCGAGAAACATTTTCCTACTTCTAGCGGTTAATTGTCACGTAATTACAACTCATATTTTTTTTGTCAAGTCATCGACAACGATCATAGAAATCATTGTCATTGAAAGATATCTTCATGGCACAGTAGTAAACTCAGCTCATGGTGTAGTGTGTCCTTGCTTTCTCCCTTCCAAACAAAATATACTTCCTTTTATTTGCACAAGAGCTCGTACCTGCCCACGAAAAGGCCGAAGTCCATGCAGTAGCACCCATCGTCATGAATTTATTGATTGAGCCGTTGGTTAAATATTTTGCACTCATATTGCTTATTTTGACAACGAAACTAAGTGACAAGCTGGTCAAGGCAGTGGCGGATCCAGGGCGGGGGCCCGGGGGGCCCGGCCCCCCCCCCTTGAGAAAAAAATCATGCAAAATCACGCGATTTTTACCTTTTTTTTGGGGGGGGGGTTGGGGCTCAAGGGGGGGGGGGGGGTGCAAATTTTAAAATTTTTGAGGACAAAAAAAAAAATTGTGCTCTCTACCCCCCCAAATGAGATAAGATATTTGTTCGTCTTTCTTTCAATTGTCATATAGAGCATAATATTAGATCATTACACATTTACAATGCAAACAAAATTTTGGCAATGATAAAAAACTACCTAAGAATACATTAAGAAAAAGGTGGTATAAGAAACAAGAAGTGTACAACAAACAACGGGTGAGACTAGACTAGACAAGACGGGAGATAAGAGAGAAAAATATGAGAAATAATAAAAGACAACACCTCATCGACAATAGGCACAGCACACAACGGGCACAAGACAACAGGGGAGGGAATAAAAGGCTGACAATCTGCTAATATTTAGTCAGACACGTAATATAAAGAAGAAGAAATTTTCCAACGTCGTCGACTCCACAATATATAGAATTTCCTTTTTTAATGTAGATGTAAACATACTGTTAATAAATTTGATCGAGTCTTTGGAAAACATCTATTCAGAAATATTCGAACAAACAATATCGGCTTGATGTTTGAGTTCAGTAATATGCGAGTAAATAAATCGACTTTTTAAATTTCTACAAAAACCGTCTTGCAGAGCTCATGTGTTCGATATGTAGCAAGCTACTCATAACAGAACTCTCTTGTTCCTAATAATACATGCTGACTCTCCTTTATACAATTCAGTTATTCCATCTTGTTTCATTCAAGAATGGGGTGACAAAATGTTTAACCTTTAAGAATCTTACATATAATTTACTGCAATTTAAATATACGAAATCCAAGTTTTAAGAATTTAGAGATTCTATAATGGAGTCGAACAGTAATAAGATGTCACCAGACCACGAACAAACATTACTTACCATAACTTCAACCTATTAAAACAAACAGATAAAGTACAAGGGTTTGCGCGTGATTACTTAAAAATTTGGTGGTTAAATATTGACATCAGCTATAAACCATGACATCATGTTGTGAAAGACGGGTGTACATTCGGGAGTATATTAGTAGGAAAAATATCTTAAGGGGAAATTAATGTCTTACGAGTTAAATCGGCACTTTAGTAATTACTTTATTTCTGTATTATTGATTTTTGATTATTAGTTAATCATATAAAGTTAGGAATACTACAGCTATAAATCATACTCTGGTGAGAAGTTTCGTTCTGCTAGTACATGCATAATTATGTTGTCTGTTTTCTGAATGTAATTTGTTAATGTTCAGAATCGGCATTGTCATCGACATGATGAAAGATTATTGCAATGCATGATCATTTCAAGATATTTTAATGTACAGATTTACATACAATTTTTAAAAGAAACCAAAAACAATGGCGATAGCAACAACAATAACATCAACAACAAAACAAAAACAAAACCACAGAACCTGTGATCATTGGTCGTCACTAATGTGTGCGGATGTGGTGGCTATAGCGCACCTAACCCTCATTGGTTCTTTTAATGCACAGTTCACACCGACGCCGAATGTCGCGCTTTAAATCGGCGATCAATTCGGCGTCATTTTTGTTTACTTTTCAAAAAATCTCACGATCTCCTCAAATATGTAATGCTCTGACATCTTAACAAAGCGTGTCAATTGGTGACAGAGCGTACAAAGTGGGGTCACCGCTTTGAACCAAGCTCTGTTAAACTCTGTTAAGCTTTCCTACGCTTTGAGCAAAACTTTTGTGACGCTTTGATAAGCTTTAATACGCTCTCCCCGCTTTACGCAATTCGTGACAGATCGCCTCAAATTTTTAAACAGTTTAACAAATTTTGGCGCTCTTGCCGAATGTCCCGAATTGCTCAAAGCTTTCTCACGCTGTATTACGGTCTTTACCAAGGGTGTCGATTTGTATCCGTGGTTGGGGGGGATGATAGGTGCCAAAACATTTTCGGCAATGGATCAAAGCAACCAAGAGGTAGAAGCGTGTGGCAGGTTGCACCCCATCCCTAAGCGTGTTGCACGCTCCCTAGGGGGTTGGTGCAGGGAGGGAGGAGTTTCCCCCCTCCCCCGAGAAGCGCGGAAGCTTTGACGTTTCATTAAATTATTAGAGAAAGAAGATGATTCGTTGGAACGTTCTCGACTCTAAATCCTTGTTTGAATAAAATTCCCCCTCCTCCGCGCGTAGCGCGGAAGCTCTGACGTTTCATTAGATTATTAAAGAAAGAAGACGATTCGATGAACCATTCTCTTGTCTGAATTCAGTCCCCCCCCCCTCCCGCGCAAAGCGCGGAAGCTTTGACGTTTCATTAGATTATTAGAGAAAGAAGACGATTCGTTGGAACGTTCTCGACTCTAAATCCTTGTTTGAATCAAGTTCCCCTTCCTCTGATGTTTCATTAGATTATTAAAGAAAGAAGACGACTCGATGTACCATTCTCGACTCTTAATCCATGTTGCTTAAATCAAGTTCCCCTTCCTCCGCGCATAGCGCGGATGCTCTGACGTTTCATTAGATAATCAAAGAAAGAAGACGATACGATGTACCATTATCGACTCTTAATCCTTAATGTTTAAATCAAGTTCCCCTTCCTCCGCGTGTAGCGCGGAAGCTCTGATGTTTCATAAGATTATTAGAGAAAGAAGACTATTCGTTGTATCGTGTACTTGTCTGAATTCAGTTTTCCCCCCTCCCTATCCGCGCGAAGCGCGGAAGCCTTGACGGTTCAATAAATTATTACTCTTAATCCTTGTCTGAATTCATTTTCGCCCATCCCGCGCGAAGCGCGGAAGTTCTCACGTTTCATTAAATCATTAGAGAAAGAAGACGATTCGTTGTATCGTGTCCTTGTCTGAGTGCAATCCCCACCCCCGGCCCTCCCGCGCAAAGCGCGAAGGCTTTGAGGTTTCATTTAATTATTACTCTTAATCCTTGTCTGAATTCATTTTCGCCCATTCCTGCGCGGAGCGCGGAAGCTTCCACATTTCATTACATTATTAGATAAAGAAGACGGTTCGTTGTATCGTGTCCTTGTCTTTATTCAGTTTCCCCCCCTACCGAGCGAAGCGCGGAAGCTTTGACGGTTCGATAAATTATTACTCTTAATCCTTGTCTGAATTCATTTTCGCCCATCCCGCGCGAAGCGCGGAAGTTCTCACGTTTCATTAAATCATTAGAGAAAGAAGACGATTCGTTGTATCGTGTCCTTGTCTGAGTGCAATCCCCACCCCCGGCCCTCCCGCGCAAAGCGCGAAGGCTTTGAGGTTTCATTTAATTATTACTCTTAATCCTTGTCTGAATTCATTTTCGCCCATTCCTGCGCGGAGCGCGGAAGCTTCCACATTTCATTACATTATTAGATAAAGAAGACGGTTCGTTGTATCGTGTCCTTGTCTTTATTCAGTTTCCCCCCCTACCGAGCGAAGCGCGGAAGCTTTGACGGTTCAATAAATTATTACTCTTAATCCTTGTCTATATTCATTTTCGCCCATCCCGCGCGAAGCGCGGAAGCTTTCACATTTCATTAAATTATTAGAGAAGGAAGACGATTCGTTGTATCGTGTCCTTGTTTGAATCCAGTTTCCCCCCATATACGCTTGTCTCATTTATTTCGTATATATGTATATATTATGCAAATGAGATAGCAAAATGTGTATATTGATGGTCATCTTGCGAGTAATAACCATTAACTACTCTCATCGGGCTCTTATCATTAATTTTTCTCTTTATTTTTTATTATTTTTTTATGGTGAATTATTGGGGGGATGATTGTACAGGCCATCCCCCCCACCTGAAATATTGGGGGGGATATATCCCCCCCATCCCCCCCGGATCGACACCCATGGTCTTTACGCTTTAATTAAGCTTTGTTACGCTTTGCCGCCGCTTTGCTCGCCGATTTAATTCGCCATCAATTCGGCGTTGGTGTGAACTTAGCATAACCGTTGACTACAGAATTCTGTCATTGCCATAGTCTTAATACACGGGCCATCAGGTTCCAGTAGGCAATGGGCTAATGTACTCTCCTTGTTTGATTTCGACAGTGATCTAGAGTGCAATGTCACGGCTCTGGTCACAATAATTGACAGTTCAAAGACAGTCCAGTTCGTTCATTTCCGGACATAAATGTGCTTCGTGCGGTTTCAGATCGAATCAAATAGATTCAATAATTTGCAAGTGTGTTACTTTTCAGATATTTGTATATTTATACTAAACATAATGTACTTATAAAACGTTTATAAAAAACACCGTACAACAATTAATCTTCATTCTTGTAACCTATTTCTGTTCCAAGCGCGTCCTGTAAGTTTACATGATCTTGTATACATGAACATTTAAACGCTTTTACTGCTATATAATTAATGACGCCTGAATAAAATTCCCTTTCGAATAAATACACTATAAATAACCTTAGAAAAATGAAATTGTCATCTGAGTAAAAAGTATAATTAAGGTACGGTCACTTCGATAAAATGAGACGTAATCAAATCATAGTTGTCTATATAGTGATGTCAGTGTAAATATGAGAATCTTTAAAAAAAAAATACTCCTATATGTGATGGATATAGTATAAATCGACTTCGAATCAAAGTAACAATTTAGTTATACTTACAAGAAAGATCTACCCATGTGTACTTCGTAATTTGTACAGACTGTCGAAACACTCACGCGGTCACGTCCATTCAGAACTATATGCCTCCGTGAATGTGCACTTCATACGCTTATTTAAATACCGTCTTTTTCAATTTTGCCCATGTATGTTTAATGCATTTGCATACATGTCCAAACTTTTCAACATCATCATCACGTGATCACACTTGAAACTACCCGGAAAGGGTGCAGGGTGCCATTGGTTTGGTTCCCACTCTGTAAGTATTTTTAAGGAGGGACAAGAGGGGTAATTTGCCAGTCCTGATATAATTTCCATCAAGAAAAGAAAACTGCAGGCTACCTTTTAATATACGCAAGTAGTTATAACTCAATGAGTGCACTATTGCACACGGATACGAATAATCGACACATTTTCAAAAGACTCACTCCTCTTTCACAAATTCATTATGGGCGATAAGCCCCCCCCCCCCTCCCCCCTCCCCCGTGCGCAAACCAGTGTTTAACAAAAATGGTAAGTTACTACTAGACTACATGCATGTATCACAATATGGGCTGTTTTTACATCCTCCTCAGGCCAAGGCCCGGATACGCCACTGCCCTCCTCTATTGTGTATTGTCGCTGATCCGTATCGACTATATGTTTTTCTTCTGTTTTTAGCCGGATATAGTTCAATGTCATTGTCACTAATTATTTGACAAGAGTGTTTCTTACATCGTGGAATATCGGTTATGAAAGTGGACCGGAACATTGGAAGTTCAATAATAGTTTATTAAATGAAAGAGACTATATGTTTTAAAGATGAGGGAAGCAGAGTTTAAAGAACAAATTAGAAATATTCCGTTGGTAAAAGGAATTTGTTTGGGAAATACATAATTGAAGCAAATATTGTAAGCGGATGAAATAACGCTCTTTTAAGATAGGAGTTCAAGATTAAAGATAAGACATACATTCTGCCCCTGGGCCCAAAGGTGTGTACTCATACGTTTCAGTTTGGGAAGCTCGTAGATGTTGTTAAAATATTAGGTGTTTATTTGTCAGTACATGTAGATATCAAGGAAAAATGAATTAAAAGGAAATATTAAACAATATTTAAAAATATTGACGTGGTGGAAACAGCGTGATTTAACTTTAATGGGTAAAATTCAATTGATGAAAGTATATGGATATTCTAAATTTAGTACATGTAACATCACTAATGCCAGTTCCAGAGTGGGTATTTAAAGAAATTGAAGTTTAATGTTTTGATTTCTTGTGGAGAGGTAAATATAAAATTAAAAGAAATACAATGATTTTAGATTATCAGCATGGAGAGCTAATGATGAATCTTAGGTTATTTGTAAAAGCACAAAGAATAAGGTGGATAAAAAGGCTTGTAATAGGAACTCATGCTATCAAATGGAAACAATACTTTAAATATTTAATGAGACCGATGGGAGGGAATCTAATATTTTATTGCAATTATTGGAGAGATACAGTGAAATTCACGTTACCTTCTTTTTATCGGAATCTTCTGAAAGCATTGATAGATTATGAAAGAATAATTATGTTAACCCATTGCTTACTGGAACCGGGTGCTCCCTGTATTAAGCCTATGGGAATTAGATAATTCAGTAGTCAACGGGTTAAAACAGAAGAGAGATACAGATGGAATAGCATTTTGAATAATGACGATTTAATTGAACTAGAAGGTCAAACCTTATTTGAGGAAAATATGTTTAAAAAAATATATATCCTCTTCATCATATTTGTGATGAAATTGGAGAATTGAAACCTAAAACTTATTTTTTTTAAATGTTAGATAGATGACAGTACCACATGCCTTATTAAGTATATATCTCTATGCAGTACCATCAAAACAGAGCATTTCCGCCCTCTCTTGATAAGAAGCTGACAAGTAGGCAAAAACTTAGTACCAATCAACGTCATGTCTTCAGATATTTTCAAGAAATCTACGGTAGATCCAAAACAAGCGAAACAAGCCTTCAAACCATGCCATGAAGATTATCAAAAGGACACATATGAAGGGAAGAAGATGGCTAAAATGCAAGACCAATCCAACGGAAGTGGTAGAGGAAAAGCAGACTCTCAGTCCAGTCCCACACGTACGGATTCGTGTAGTTACCAGCCTGTAACGCCGACATCAGCGCTGCTGAGAGGAAACAAGATCATTTATGCTGTGCCAATAAGTATCATATCGTTAATGGCGCTAGCTACAAGATTCTACAAACTTCGAGAACCTGGTCACATCTGGTAACTAGCATCACTGCCAAATTAAAAAGATATATAGGTATAGGTATACGGTCTGAAATTATAGTAAATTCTAAAACTTAATTGCCAAAACTTATAAAAACCCTATTCTAGCCTTAAGGGCTCTCTCGAAATGTTTTTTTAATGATATTATTCGAGAGAGCCTTAAACGGCTCCCATACCCCTGCACGGAGAGGCATGTAAACAAAACTCAAAAGTGGTCCAAAATCACACTTTCGCGCACCCGACCAATATTGGACAGTGGCTTTGATAAATTTTGTCCGAGTTTTGGTCTTAATTAGCGCTTTAATTTCAAAATCGGATCTAAAAATAACAAAATAAGAGCAATTTTCTTACCAGACCGATACAGCTCAGCTCCCTTTTCACGTGTACCGTGTGAATTCACGATGTCTACACAATGGTGATGACCTCTGACTGGCACTTCCGTAATTGTGGGTAAATTGTGCTGCTTCCGTATAATGCGCTGTATGAGTGTTATTCAGCGCATTATACGGAAGCAGCACATTTACGAAGTGCTAGTCAGAGGTCATCACCATTGTGTAGACATCGTGAATTCACACGGTACACGTGAAAAGGGAGCTGAGCTGTATCGGTCTGGTAAGAAAATTGCTCTTATTTTGTTATTTTTAGATCCGATTTTGAAATTAAAGCGCTAATTAAGACCAAAACTCGGACAAAATTTATCAAAGCCACTGTCCAATATTGGTCGGGTGCGCGAAAGTGTGATTTTGGACCACTTTTGAGTTTTGTTTACATGCCTCTCCGTGCAGGGGTATGGGAGCCGTTTAAGGCTCTCTCGAATAATATCATTAAAAAAACATTTCGAGAGAGCCCTTAAGGCTACCCTATTCTTTGTTCATTGACTTCTATTCAATAATCAAATCTTGTCCCTGACTAGTACTAGAGAAGGAGAAAACGCATCTTTTACATTATGATGAGAACAGGTATGACTTTTCCTTGTTTTGAATTATCCTAAGGAATCCGATAGACCCTGTTAGATTTATTTAAAAGTAAAATATTGTTGAATGACTAACAATAATATTATTTATACTAGACCTAGATCTATAGTAGTGCTGGTGGGCATGGCATGTGCGTTTGTTTTGTTGTTGCTGCTGTTGTTGTTGTTGTGTTTTTTTTTTTGGGGGGGGGGGGGGGAGGGGTTGTTGCCTTCTTATTTCCAGAATGTTTAATGTTTATTTTTTTTAAAGTAAAAAGAGAAGGATTAAATGCAAAATAAAAGAAAAGAAAAGTGAAATAAGCTTTCAATTTGATGATGACCCATCCGGTGTTGATCAAGCCAATTTAAAATGATGACAGAAACTGGAACTAGTTATGGAGGATTAAGTCTGCATTCACAAGCTTCTATAACTATCCATTTAAGTAAGTAAATACATTGTATGTCTTTTAAATCCCTGGTCTATACTCTATAGCCTTGTATGAAAATAGAATGAACAAAAATGAATAGAATAGCATTGAAAATAGACATACTGATGCTTTTTTGCCTTGCTCTCATCACAGCTAACCGCAAGAATGAACAACTGAAGTTGGACATTAAAAAGGAAACCAAAGGAATAAAGTACACAAAAATAGCAGGGTCTAATGGGATGCATACAAATTCATATGTATGTTCCTCACATTGGCATCATGAATGATGGGGTCAATAGTGGTGGCAATTTAAATCTGCTGGTACATGCCCTAGAGTTTGTGTTAAAATCCACCTTGATTGAATGTTGCTATCAAAGTCTTAAATCTTATTTCAGCTGGGATGAAACTCATTTTGGAAAGATGGGGAGCTTCTACATCAATCGCACATTCTTCTTTGATGTGCACCCGCCGCTGGGTAAGATGTTGATAGGCCTTGCAGGTTACCTGACTGGATACGATGGCTCCTTTCCTTTCGACAAGCCAGGAGACAAGTATGGCGACACCGAGTACTATGGCATGAGAGCTGTGAGTATGTGTGTGAATTTTGTGAGATCTTTGATTACAAAAGGTATTTCTAAACAGTGTATGAAAGATATCGTAAAATTGTGTAGTTTGGAAGAAGGAAGAGTGAGTGAGTGAGTTAGTGAAAAAGAGAGGAGGAGACAGAGAGAGAGAGAGAGAGAGAGAATGAAAGAGAAAAAAAGAGAGAGGGGCAATAAATATACTATAGGATATTGATTATAATGCACCTTTAAAATTATTATTTGAATGGTTCATAATTAAACTCTTCATGTCTATTTCAAAATTTAGATCAGTAACATAATTCAAGCATTTTTCTTTGTTTAGTTTTGCACCACCCTTGGGGCACTCATCATACCTCTGACCTACCTAACCGTGGAAGAAATGACCAAGTCGATTCCTGCAGCAATAATCGCATCCTCACTAATTCTATTCGGTAAGTCTATTTTGAAGGAAGATATATAAGTTCAACTTATTTAGAATCAGAGGTATAAAGTGACACTTTTTGCCTATCTTATATCTTGGGGTATTGTTATAGAATAACATTTATCCTTTTCCAACATAATCTCATTGTGAGATCTTGTATTGTAACCATACATAATTCAGTCTGTGCTTTTGGGGAAAAAAAATGGAAATTCCACAAGTTTATTACTTCAGTATACTTTCTTCAAAGGTAGGCAATTCCCAATTGTCTCATAAGAGAGGCTACAAGGTCGATCTTACTATGTTCAGGGATCTATTTTGTCCCACACTAGAACACTGGGTTATTCCTTCATTTACCTGTGTACATACAAACACTATATTCTCAAATTCTAAAGAAAAGTTATATGCAAGTCTAGAAATGCCTTGCCTTCCCAAGCACCCAAAAGCTAATCTAGTTACCTGATAGTCTGTCTTGCTAAACTCTGCTAACCCATGACAAGTGCTGTGTAAACAAGAGGTCCAGATTTTGCACCTTTCTTTATTTTCTGTTGGCTGTCCTTGTTTTTCTTAGACTGTGGATGCCTGACACTGTCCCAGTACATCCTCCTAGATCCTATCCTCATGGTATTTATCAGTGCCTCGGTCTTCTCTCTTGTTAAGTTCCAATCCTGTCAGTCGAACCCGTTTAGTCCAAGGTGGTGGGTCTGGATGGCTGTTACTGGAGTCTTACTGGCATGTTCTTTCAGGTATGGAATCTTCAAATCTTGAAATTTATGTACTGATGGTTGTGTCAGATATTTTGTGTTAAAAAAATGTTGATAATAGCTTATGGAGTTCTCCTCTGCTGCACCACAGTACTGTTTACACCTTGCATGATGTGCATTCAGTAAGTTTCAGGCAATAAAATCTTGATTATGTAAATTGTGCTCCCTTTGGGTCAAAAACCAAAGGTTGTATAATTGTCCTAAGGCACGATTTTCTTTTTTTAGCAGGGCTCAACGCTTTTTTCTCGTTTTGATTGCAAATCTAAGGAATATATATTGGAGAAAAATAGTGAGCAGTGTCATTTAACATCTTTTTTAAGTTAAACCATCTCTAGCTTTAAAGTCTTTAAAATTGTGTGTTTGTCATGTACAGTTTGAATTTTAATGAAGAAAAAAAAATTACGTTGGAAGCTAACTCATGTATATTTTGTGTCAATTTTAAAAGGATCCTGTTTGATATCAGTGTTTAGTCAGTACTCAGTAGACATCATTAAGATATGGAATACATGGGAGATACAAATGGTCACTTACAATTATATAAAGTTAAGTCAATGAACAAAATGATTATTTGAATGTTGGCAGTGTCAAATGGGTTGGACTGTTTGTCATCCTTCTTGCTGGGGCAACCACAGCTTTGGACCTATGGAAACTCCTTGGGGACTTGAATCTTACAAAGGTAAGCAGATAATCCTGGACATTGGTGGTGTTGCATGAGTTAATCCATCATAGTGGCATGGGGATGGGGGGGGGGGGGGGGGGTAACCAGATTTATCAGATGAATAAAATGCACCAGAACACAGGTTTGTGTCATTTTCTTTTCATGCCAACCTTCTTCCTCTCTTTTTCTCTGTCTTTTCTCTTTTATTTGCCATTTGATGGGGAGACCTATGCAACCATGTAGCTACACACCACATAAGCTAGAGTCTTGGTATCTACGTGCATTTCCTTGAAAAGAGAAATGGGAGAGAGAAAAAAAGAGAAGGGAGGGAGAGTATGAACATGGATATCTACATGTATATATCTGTCTTAAAACACACTTTCATTTGCTCAAGAGTGCTATGGAGTGCTACATATATGTATTCCTGTATGTGCATGCAAGAACAATAGGACATGAGCATCCGAAAATCAAATAAAGGCATGTGTATAGCATAAACTTTGAATTTGTGAAGGCAACTTGGGCGATGAAGCCATCCGGTGTACAGTGTGTTGAAAATACTGAGATCAGGATGACCAGGTGCATGTGTGAGACCTCTCTACATGACTGCAAGAAGAATGAAGAATTGACAAAAGGTCTTTCAAGAGATAACGATGGGTAGATTGAAATGTTATGGACATGTGGTTACCGGTAGTACAGTTTAAAGCAGTTTAAAAACTATACATTTTCCGGTGGCTGACTCATAATCCTGGATCAGAACTCCCAAAACTTGGAAGGAGTCATTAAAAGAAGATGCAAGAGTATTATGCCTCATCAAGGTGAATGTTAGAGACCAGTAGTAGTAGAGGGTAGATGAATTGAAGCAACTTCTTTTTTTTATACAGATGACACTGTTGTACCACCTCTTGGCGAGAATAGTGTGTTTGATATGCCTGCCTGCAATCATCTACACAGCTTTCTTTGCAGTGCACTTCCAAGTGTTAAATCAAAGGTAAGTAAATCCTGATGCAGTGATAGATTTTGAAGTCAGCAAAAGACAAAATTGGGCATGATATTGTGTGCAGCCTTGTGCAGATCACGGAAAGGCTCCGAGTAAAGTTATGCATTAATTACCTGCATGGTTTCATGGTATATATGTTTGTGGGAAGGGGGTATGGTTGAGGGCACTTGTATTCATATTTGGAAATATATCCATTTTAGATGCATGATGTGTGTCACGAGTAAACACAAGTAAAGGTATGAATGTTACAGGCCTTAGTTATTTTAGGAACAGGCCACTTGGTCAGTCATCAGAGAACAGATGCCAACAAATATTAAATGGTAGCACCAGGAGATGGGTTCATTTTCCTTTAAGCTTTGTCATTTTGGGGAAGCATTGCAGAAAGTGAAAATGATATTCATGACAATATGAAGTGGCCTGATGTCGCCATTTTGCCATTTTGAAGGGGAGAGACTATAACATCATTTTACTAAATGAGAAACTTAACAACATGGATATTTGCTTAATCACAGTGGCAATGGAGATGGTTTCTACAGCTCAGCATTCCAAGCTAAACTCATAGGAAATAAACTTCACAATGCAGCTATGCCAGAAGGTAAAAACTTGCCTGTCAAGTATTTTCTTTGTTTATTGTGATTCTTTTCATTTTCTTTTAATACAGGCTATGTTAAAACAATCAGGAATTTATTCAACCAATTGTTGTTTATACTAATGAGCCAGCATGCTTGGGCTGGTCCGTGGCACTATGAAGTTAAAATATGAAAATATAGCGTATGTGAACTAGCCCATATGGATATTTCTAATGCATCACTTCTGTATTCCTCCTGTGTAGCTATAGCCTATGGATCTCTCATCACATTGAAGAACCATCGATCTTCAGGGGGGCTACTTCACTCCCATCATCACCTCTACCCTGAAGGTTCTGGTGCGATGCAGCAACAGGTATATATTCTACTGTTAAGGTCCTCTATTTCATCGGGTTAATCACCCACGGTTTATAGGATCCATTAGAATTGCAGCACAAATCTGTTATTAGATAAAGGATAAAAATATTTCATAGTGCAAGAATAAGGGCCATATCTCACTTCTCTTCATCTGACTTTTAGCCCTTGACAATAAACAAAAGAATCTATAACTTTTAACATTATTTTAAATCTCAATATTGTCATTATTTTCATAATAGTCTTCATTATTATCGTCAACATTGTTGCCACTTTTATTATCATTGTTATCATTATCTTTTTCATTACTGTTTTTATCATTATTAGTATTATCAATATAACCTTTACTATCATTATTGTCATGATTATTACGTGATTTTGCTTTCAAGGTGACGGCGTATACTCACAAGGATGTCAACAATGAATGGTTGGTGAAGAAGTTTAATGTCAACCCTGACCCGAATGATACATCCATAGAGTACGTCAAACATGGTGATCTCATCAGACTGGAACACACTGCGTAAGTAACTTGTTTCATATTATGGGGTAGAAGAAAATCGAGTACAGACTCAGCACAGGGGGGCATTACAGAAAGCCTTTTTTCAATAAAAAATGACAAAAATCAGTGACAAATCTGCTGATAACTAATCGGAAGCAAGGATTTCAGTAGCTTATAACAAAAACTGTCATTTGTCACTGATGAAAAGTTTTGTGAAACGACCCCAGACCTAAAACCTAATATGAAGAGTATCATTATCACTTTGATCCATAACCAGTGCAGACTTCTCAACCTGATTCGAGAGGAGGGATGAGTTCAGACTAATTCCAGACTGGAAGTCTAGAGAGAGCTAACGCACTAATGTAGCCATACAGTTAGATTGACTTATGCTCACTTTGGTGTCCAGTGATGTTTGTAATGGCAACTACATTTACATAAAGATGTACCTCTACATTTTATACATGTCTTGATTTATATATTTCTTATCCGCAGAACTAAGAGAAATCTTCACAGTCATCCGCTACCAGCCCCACTGTCCAGTCGACATCAACAGGTTACTTGCTACGGAGAGGTGAGATTCTCTATGACAGCATCTAGGGTCAGAACAGGACTTCACATAGCAAGTGAAAAATGTTCTAATATGTGTTGAAAGGAGGGCTCAAATGGAAGGGCTATTTACAGAGACCTTGAAATCTTTTGCTTTTAATTTAAATGCTTAAATGCTTTTAATGCTGGATAAGCTGATGTTTTCGTGTACAGATATTTTTTTATGACAGGGACACAGACATTTTTGTAAGTTGTTAGTTTAGCAATACACGTTGGCACATGCACTGCAAGCTCCTTTTCTCATGTTGTTAAATTCATGACCCTAAAACAATTTTTTTGATATCCACAGAATAAAACCCTCCTAAATGTAACATTTATACAGTAGCTGGAGTGTCCATTCGTGCCCAAACTAGTACTCAGACCATTCTAGATTAAATCAAAATGTAGTTCTAAGCCATCAATCAAATCTGATTTCCATTGTGTACTCTTTGTATATCACTGAATACTGCTGATCAATCACTTATGTTGATTTGTTGTCCTTTTGTCACAGAATGGTACGGGTGATGTGAATGATGTGTGGAGGGTTGAGATCGTAGGAGGCAGAGAAGGAGACCTGGTCAAAGTGGTGAAGACCAAACTCAAACTTGTTCATCAGATCAATGGATGTGCCTTATTCTCACACTCAAAGACACTCCCTAAATGGTCAGTATTTGGATTTGAATAAATTAAGTAATTATCTCTCTGTTTCTTCTTTACTTTGAATTGTGATAAGGACTGCAATTTAGGATTGTCATAAAATGGATATTGTAGTATATCGCACATAGTTTACATAATAATTAATGAGATAAAAGCAATATGCCCTGTTGTCTTTCTTGAATCATCTCCATGAAAGTCCTGTAGGATATTTAGGTCATTGGATGGATATTTATATTACGATAGATATATCTGCAAATATAACATAGAAACAATACACAAAAAGAAAAGGAATGGAGATTACTACATTTAAATCATTAATAACTGTATCTAGGTAGTTCCTATATTTAGCCTATATGAAATTAGAAAATTTGGTAGTCAATGAGTTGAATATGATGTGGGTCACAAAACAAATGAATACAATGGGGTTATTTACAATTACATGATTATTTGGTAGAGTCATTCCATAATTTTTGTGAAATAATATTTGAAAGTAAAAAGAAAATAATGGCAGGGAGAGAGTTTGTTTGACTTGCCCAGAGCTACTGGGCAAGTGTTTATGAAGCCCAAGGACTGTGGGATAAAGTGTTTCACAACAATCAGTTACTCAACATTTGCTTCAGGTTCATTTGCCATACACTTTATTTCATTAAAGACATGTGATTATGGTTTCAGTTATGTTTGGTCTTAAGTTGAAGTTAGCAGTTGGGTTAGTGTAGCAAGTTGACTGTAGCACAATGTTCTAGAGATCATGTCTTGTAGAACTGAACAATCATCTTGCCATCGATGTTGATTATGTTGCAGGGGATGGGAACAGCTGGAAGTCACCTGCAATCCTTACATCAGAGATGTGAGAACCCTGTGGAATGTAGAGGATCACGTCAACGAGAAACGTGAGTTTATTGTTTATGATTTAATTCATTACTCGATACGGTTACTCTATGTTACGAAAAAGAGAGAGACTGAATCATGTAGGGCTTAGTGATTATATAATAATTTAGTAGCATTTATTTTTAGCTAATCTTAAATAACTATTATCCAGCCCCCCCCCCCCCCTCTCCCTAAGATATATAGAAGAGAGAACAAGAGAAACGGGAAGAGAGACGAGGAAAAGAATGAGAAAAGGATAGGGCCCCTTCCACACCCTCATCCAAATCGATTTGCTGAGTAAAACCGGTGCATCTCCCCCTCCACCCCGTTTAATTGATGAGGTTGCCCCATCACCGGCTGGACCCATGCTACATGTACACCGCTGATGTTTACAATGCCATATCAGTCATTGGTCACTCATGGTAATTTAGTTTTATGTGGGAAGTGAAGGAAAATGAAATACATGCTGTGTTGCAATGTCAATAAGATTAACGGCCTCCTTGCGGGTAGTCAAGAAATTGTGTTTAAAAAAAAAATGTTTAAAATGAAAAGTATCACCCCAACTGTATAGATAATACATGTAAATTACCAATATGGAGTACCGGTATTGGAGTTATTTTCTCTGTACCCTTTCAATTTTTTGACATTTCCTTGAATTTTAATAACAGATAGATGTCTTATTTTTTTCATGTTGTCTTTACAGTTCCCAACATGAACATAAGCCTATTTGTGCCATCATTTCTGGAAAGATTCTTAGAGGCTCACTTGGTCATGGCCTCAGTGAGTTATTAGAATTTAATCTTTATCTTTCAATGAATGCCTGTTGTTATGCATTAAGGATTGTCTCTGTGATAGAGATTGCATTGCTTGTGGTTGTGTTAAACATGTCTTTAAAATAGTATTCAATAGTATAATTATGATATTAATATCATTGACATGTACTGTAAGGTGCATAATGAAACTGCATCCCTTGGCACATGGTGACCTGGTTTTACTCTAGCAGTCCTTAACAATGGACAGAGTGTGATCAGGAATGTCACATCTTTACTGTGCCCATGATCATACATTTGTAAGAAGGCAACCACAGACAAAGATCTCATCTAAGCATCAGGAATAGATTTGAACCAATGAGCCTGTGCCTGAGAGTGAAGAGGACTGTCTATTTTACCACTGTGCCTTTAGTACCGGTATGTTTAATTATTCGTCACAAATTTGTGCTTTGTCCTTTATAAATCCCTCAAGGAACCATTCCTGTTATTCTTTTTATTTCAGGCATACCCAAAATCAGTTCTTGTCTTATTCTTTCTGAGTCAATGCTATTATTGTTATTACTGATTTAAATATTCCTATATTAAATTGATGAGCTAGACAAGAATAATATGAAATCCATTGTCTACTGGAACCAGGTGGCCCCTGTGTTAAAGGCTATGGCTATGAGAGAAACCAGTAGTCAGGGGGTTAACATGCAGTTTTATTGCATTTTCAGGGTAACAGCAACCTCAAACCCAAGGAAGGTGAGATAACATCAGAGCCTTGGCAGTGGCCCATCAACTACAGGGTAAATTACAATTAATTTTTATCATCATAGTTATCATTATAGTGATTATGACTTAAAGCACTTAGAAACAGAGTATTAAGCACTATACAAACGTGACTATTGTTGTTATTTCTTCTTCTTCTTCCAGTGTAAGTGCTGCTTCAAGGTGATGAAGATAAACGCACTGGTTGTGTGTGTATATGTGGAGACTTTAACATATCCTGTTATTCCACATTTCCACATTTTAAATTGTTGTTCTTGTTGTGCTGGTGCATATATACTTGTGTAAGTAAAAAAAATGTGCATATACCAGTTTGGTTTACTTTCTAATTTCACATTCCATATTACACATAGTCAGTTTTGTTTACAAGAAATGTGATGATGATGCATATGTATTTTGAATGAACATTGGTATATGAGATAATGAATCACTTTTGGTTACTTCTTAATTATGGACTGAGATAATTTGGAAATTGTGATATGAATGTGCTTAAGGTAAAAGCAAAGCTTGTTGTTTGTAGGCTCCCGAGAGTAATACCATAATTATAAACCTAACAAAGTTGTTGGAAAAAACAGGGAACATTTTAAAAATAAGTGTTATTAAAGTGAAATGCAATGGAGATCTCCTCATTTAATGAATACTTCTTCAGACTATGGACCACATGGTAAATGGTTTGAATCCCTGCCATGGCACTAATGTCCTTTGGCAAGATGTTAATCTAGATTTGCCAGGTCAATAGATACCCAGCAGGAAGAATTTTGTTGAACACTTGACCTCCTTAAAGATGCTCTGCTTCAGTCAAGGTAATAATATTATCCAGGGCTTTGTAACTAAAGGACAAGTGCTTTATAAATTACAAATTATTGTTAATATAATCATGTTTTTGCATGCATAGCGAATAAATCATACCAGACAGAATGATTCGTAGAGGCTCCCGATTCTTCCCACAAATATCTATTCCAAGTCAAACAGTGATTCTATTTTTCAATTTTCAGGGGCAGCGGTTTTCTGGGACTAATGAAACTGAGTACAGGGTGTACCTCCTGGGCAATCCAGTGATCTGGTGGGGCAACCTAGTTGTACTAGCCATATTCTGTCTGGCAGCAGTGGGCTGGCTCTTTATGATGCAGAGGGGCTGTGAGCTGTCACCACAGATACAAGGTGTGATTCTCCCTAATATTACTCATATTAACATACACTTGGTATTACATTGATATGGTTAAAGCCTGCTTATTTGTGTGAGAGGGTTTCTCTTTTCTCAAGAGACTGTTTGATATTTAAATGGACATGATTCACTTTCGGTGGATAATATCAATACATTTTAAATGGAATAAAAATATAAAAAATTTAATTTAATTTTTTTTTTTTTTTTTTTTTTTAACAATCCTGGTATGCTTAGTTGCTAGGTTTATGTATTTCTAGGTTTTTCAAAAAGAAAATTCTGAAAGAGATGGACTAAAAAATACTGTTTCCTGTTTTCTTTCTATAATCCTTATCTTTTTTGATTTTTCTTTTGGAGGTAGAGTAAATCTCTATTTGATTAGCAGTTGTTCAGTTACACTATAAATGAAAAATGACAAATGACAATCAGTTTTGTACCTTTGGGAGAAGAGCATATAACCAGTTCAATCTAACTATTGATCATCATTCAGACTCTGCTGCCAATGTGTATCCTTCATGTGGTTGGTTGCTCCTCGGTTGGGGACTTCACTACTTGCCGTTCTATCTGATGGGACGAGTTCTCTACTTCCATCATTACTTCCCTGCCATGGTCTTTAATAGTATGATTACAGGTAAGAGGGGTTCATTCATTAGATGAGAACGATTCTCAGATGAGGGGGTCTGACTTTATTAGTGAATAGAACAGTGGCCTTTATAATGGGAACGTCTAGGTTTAAGTTATTCCACAGCAGTGCATGTTTGCCCTTGGGTGAGGCTGTTATCCCATGTACCTAGTCCCTTTGATGAACTTGTGTTCTATTGAGCTTATAAGCAAACATGTGTATATTACATATATTTAACTCTCTGGTACATTCATGATACCATTATTCATTAAAAAGTACCTGTTGAATAGAATAGAATCGGGGCTTATTCACATGGATATTAAAGGAAGGCTTTAGGAAAAGGTCTGATCTTACTTCTATATTTACAGAGATGAAAAGTTCAACTCAGAGGGACTTTTATGGCAGAACTAATTGGAATGACATGGTGTGTGTGGAAAAATGGAAGAAACAAAAAAGTAGTTAAGTAACTAAGGCATTACATGTTATAACACGGGGTACCATACAGATGTATTAAAATATGAGCTGTCTCTTCTTTTTCATTGTTCAGCTTGATATGCAGAGATGCAGAGTAGGGGGTGGGCATAGTGGTTAAGGAATGTGGTTAAGGGGTAGTGATTCTGTTTTATCCATTATGTAGTTGTATCAATGATCAGTGAAATGGAAAAGATGAGAAATGATTGTTTTCTTGTACAGGAATCTTCCTGGACCATGTCCTGAAGGTGCTTGAGCTGAAGCTAGGAGGTCGCTTTCCTCACCTTCATCAAAGTGGAGTGGTGATCCTCCTTGCTGTTGTCATTCACAGGTAGGCTACACTAATATAGAATCTCTTGAAACAAAAACTAAAGCTACAAAAATAAGCATAAAACCACAAACAAACGAACACAAACATCACCTTCTAACAATCTTTCGAGTTTTATGGCGAAAACAAGAACCAAGTAATTGAATGCTGTAGACCTTTACAATTGTATCCAGTATTTTAAAAGATATTCACTTAATATAAGCACAATGCATATTGTAATCACTTCATGTTTTTTTCTTCAAAATATGAGATGGTTAATTTACCACATGGATTGCTTTCTTGAAATTCAATGCTCACACACCGTATATATTGAATATACAGTAGTATATCATCTTTACTTTTTAGTAGGATGATTTGATAAACAACCATTACAACTAGATGGTAGATATGATTGCCAGAGACTAATATCCTTGTGATTGACTGATTGTCTCTGTCTTTGATACCACTTGCAGCTTCTACCTGTTTTATCCGCTCTCCTACGGGATGGTTGGACCATTAGCAGACAAACCAGGAAGCCAGATGGCTGGCCTTCATTGGCTCTCAACCTGGGAATTCTAGTCGACACTTATCATCCATCACCACTATGTCTTCTTCAAATCATATGACCAGTACTAGCCATCACTTGCATCTTGGAGATGGACCCTGTTTCACAAAGCTATTATATTAAAGAGATATTGTGCTCACAGCCAATCTAATGCATTGATTTTGTAGCTTTAGTGTAACTTGTTATTGGTGACAAGTTTTGTGAAACAGGGTCTAGATGTTAAAAAAAATGTAACCCCGCAAGAGATGCTGTCTCCTATTTTTACTTCACAATTACTTCGTCAAATATTTATTAAGTAGTGCCATTCTTGCATCCTGTTGGGTAAAGTATATATCTGAAGACAAATTTTGACCGAAATGCAGTCCAGAATACGCAAATTATATATAATTTTAATTTTGCTTAAGTTACTCAATGAATATTAGTATAGATGGCCATTTGGCCTTTATTGCATATTGATGTTCAATATCATGTAGGTGCTAGTATTATAGTGTTTGTCTTTACGCTTCTTTACAACCATGAGTTGACTTTGACCTATGACACCGTCTATCAAAGAGGTTTAATTGAATTAGGAGATGTTTATAGATTTATTTTTATATTATGTGCATGTATCAACTAACATGTAAATTATGTGCTCCCAATTTTTATTGTGCTTAATCAGTGATGCAAATTTTATGCAATTTTTATGGAAAATCATGTAGTTTTTATGAAATAAATAGTCAATTTTGTATTAATCAAGGACTAGACAAGAAAAATAAACTTCAATCATGTGAGACTTGAAGATTGGTCATAAAATACTCCAATTGTTAGTTGGTATACATGAAGTGGGCTTTTGTGTTATAAGTGAATCTTTTTCTCAGTAGCTCAATTAAAACCTGTTTGGATACTTTGAGTCTTTCTTCTTGTTATTTTTGTTTAGTTTCTGAAGAATTGTATAATTGTATATATTCATGCTGTGTAGTTGATTTAGCCCTTTGTATGGGTTTTTTAAAACTGTATATTTTAATGGTGCTGGTAAAATATTCAATCTCCTTGGCTTGCTTTGATAATTTATATTTATAGATTTATTTGTATATACTTTGCCTTGCTGTATTCAGTGGGATGTTGTGTGCATCACATGTAATGTGTGTGGGACTGTAGATGTTAGACTTTAAGTCTGCTACATACTTTGTATTCCTTTTGTTCCTTTGTATCCTTTGCATGAGCTGTTTTCTTTTTGATGATGTACTATTTGTTTTTATAAGAGGGAAGTATTATTTACACAGAATGTTGTCTATGAATAATTTTTGAAGTCTCAGTGCCCTCTATAATCTGACCTTAACACATGGTTCTGGCTTAAGACAGTAGCGGTAATCCTCTTTCGTACAGTATTACATTGTTTCATGTAGCTATCAATGGCAGCACAGCTAAAGCCGGGGTAATAATCTCCAAGTTTGGAAGCGCTTAGTGATTGTAATAAGCGCTATATAAAAACTGAGTATTATTATTATTATTATTGTTATCAAGCTCTCTTCCTCTGGTATGCCCTAACCACAAAAAGAGTAAAGTCCTGCTGTTTGGACAGATACTTCTCAACTTCTGCATTGTGCTTGTTGGGATAGTTTTATTTTCTGCTGTTGCAACCAAGCTTCAAACTCCTTTACTTTCAATCAGTTCGAGTCAATCTGGGAACTTAAATTCTTGAAATGCTCAAGATCCAATCACCCTAAATTTGTAAGATTTTGGAAAAAATTAAGTTGATGTTCTCATTCTCTTTGGTATTCTTGTTCATTTTGTTGTTGTTGTTGGCCAGATGTTTCTCAGAATATCTTTTAGATAAATTGTAAATATTACCCTTGTGTTGGACTTCAATTTCTATGCATGTTTGTGTGTGCTTATGTTTTTATTTTCATTACTATCTCAAAACAACTCATTTAATATGTAGAATTATTTAAATAATTATTTTAGTTTGCCAAATTCTGCCATCATGGACATAATTAATATTTGTCCCACATGTATAGTGCTAGTGTTCAGCCAGGAGAATGCAGCCTTATCCATCCAGATAACTAGGGATAAAACTTGCCCCATCCTCTAATAAAATTGTTATTAGAGGAAATCTTGGAAATACAAAGAAATATTAGTGTTTGGTTATTTTTGGTCAGGTGTGTATTACATGCCTTTATTCTATGATTCCTAGACTGATCCATCTTTACATGATTTACGATTTACTTCTTATTTATTTTTAATGTTTATTTTTTACCTAACTGAGGATTAACTGAACTATTCTGTAAAATCACAATGCACACCACCTGCATAACGTGATGTTCCCCTGACAAAACAATATGAATGACATTCAATGACTTTCTTCCTAACAGACTTGATTTAATGTTTCCAGTTGAAACGTATCTCATGTTAGGAGTTTGCATAGGTCATTGGTGCTAATTATTTGCCAACTCTTAGCATGAAAATGCTTCCATTACATTTTGTATTTGAGTATAATTTATTCCATCTGTCCATGTCTTTCTAGTGATAGTTACCACTTATTTAATATCCATACTCTCAGTACTGAAATGATGTAGCCAACCTCAAGCAATCTGTGATAAAATTCATGTGGGCATGGTGAAAAAAATATTGTATTTATATAGTGTGTAAGTGGTCATGATAAATCATGTGTGGGGAAATGAAATATGTATATATTTTTGTTGGACGAATAGTAGCATTTCTTGAATAATAATGTGTATTCAGTTTGTGGTGTATGTATTTGGGTTTAACTATAATCAGGATCATTTGTAGTGAGTAGTTTCACATATATTATTATGCAGTTATAGTTTTATGTATATATTTTCTTGCATTTCAGTAAATATCCGCAAGTAACCCATTACAAGGGCAGGTGCTTGATTTAAACATTGCAGATGTAGAAAAAAAGAGTATTTTCTGTTATTCTAGTATGCATAGAAATCAGAAATTGGGCACAAAAAGTAGGATGTAGTGACTATGATTTTTGTATTGTGTATAATGAATTAGAAGATACTTCCTAAAAGGAAAAGAGATGAATTTTATTTTCAGATTTACGGACTCATTTGGATTTTGGGAACTATTTTGCTAAGAGAGGATTTAACGGTTGTGTTTATGACTGAATGATATTAATTTAGATTATGTGGTTCAGAAACAAATGAACAAGTGAACAAAATAATCAAATTCCAATTCTTTTGTTACCCTTTTCACCACAAGAATTTAATCTCAACTAAAGCTGTGTATGAGAGTACGTTGTAGTTATTGGTGCATGATTAAAATGATCAAAAGTGATATAAACACAAACAATTAAAAGCTGTGATTTCAGAAGTTTAAATTACAAATATAATATTCCAATTCAACTCTCACAATAGCCATGTATAAATATATGATTTCTATTGTAGTTATATAACACAAGTATACTATACTATATTATACAAGTAGGATTAAACTGGACATCTTTGAAACGAGGTAATAAAATGGTTGTACATCATAATACATTTTACATCAAATATACTCCATTTGATGAATGGGTCTCTGCCTTCTTATCATTTTTAAAGAGAAGTTACATTAGGTAGATTATATATTAGCTACACAATATTAGCATCAACTCATCGACAAGTTTTGTAAAAAAGCGTTGACTTTTGGTAAGTTGCACTTTGCAATAACTTTGTGTGACCTAATTAAATTTATTATAACATCAAGATAACCATCAAATTATCTTATAATGATATATAAAATAACATTGGCCTGTGAAAATATCATGAATTCATAAAGTATAACTACAAATATCCACTATGGATGCCATTTGTATGATTCGTTAGGACAAAAAAAAACTGAAGATTGTAATGTATGTATTCAGATATGCCTTATATTTACACATTGAATTTTCATGATAGTCATAATATATTTTTGTAATGTACACGTATTCATAACATTCATATTCATGCAGTTCATGAGGTTAAATTAAGGTTTATTAAGGTCATTATTATTCCACACAGAGTTGACTACATTTCAGTTTGTTTTTGCTGGATAAACAGTAATGAACACAAATATGCCTCTTTTTCTTCCAAAATATACAGAGCACTAGAGGGATATTTAAGAAAATAAAAAGTCCTGTACAAACATTTTGATAAATATGAATAAACATTTGTCGCATGTATTTATCAAGAATATGTCTCCTTTCATCACAAAATATGAGAAGTTAATTTGAAAAGTCAAATCACATCACTTTTGTCTTTAAAAAAATAAAAACTAAATTGAAAAGAAAAATCACATCATTTTTGTCTTTAAAAAAATAAAAACTTCTTAACATTGTTAATTTATACGTACATTGGTAAAAAGCTTTTTTAAAAGATATAAGATTATGATTTTAAAACAAGTGGTTGTTGAGGTTTTCCAACTAGTAGTATATTTGCAATAAGATTCATAGATGTGTATCAATGTTAATGGTATCATACAGGAAAGATTGGCTGAAAAGATTCATGATTATGCCCAGTTCCATATTTTTGTTTTGACGATTGTCGATTGATAAAATACATGGCTTAGAACTCATTAAAATTGCTTTTTTATATAGAAAGATATAATATGTGTTTGTGTAATATTTGACGACTTCGACTAGGCTGTTGACAATTTTATAGTAAATTATCTTAGTAAAATGAGTCATGATCGAGTAAATGGGAAGAAAACAGTTGTTTGATGTCATAAGTACTAACTGTCACTGTCTATTTTATTCACTTGGCAAATTGATATGAGTGATCATGTTTTATATTTCAATTTTGATGACTCTCATGCATGTCTTACATGTATTGATTGTCACTGGGAATATTCAAGATTTATATGGGTTGCCTTAAGTTCGTTTTTTTCCTATGGTATAATGGTACTTTGAAATGTCATCAATAACTCTATATGATCAGACATACAACAAATCGACACAGATTCATAATTATGGAGAAACATATAAATTGAACTTTTAGTTACTAATATACACACATTGTAATTAACAAATACCATTCCCCCCCCCCCCCCCAAGATGGTCAATAAGTGTAAAAAGTAGAAAATTAGATAGATTTAGGATGTAATAAAATGTGAACGAAAAAAAAAGAAACTTAAAAAGCAGCAAGAACAAGTATAAAAAAAGGCAAGAAGACTGACCAAAACACCAAAAGAGAAAACAAAAAAACATCTTGAAATATAATAAAGAATCTTATCATTCTGCTGCTGTTTTGTATACACCTGACCTATTATAGAAATATATAAACTAAAAAACAGACAACTAGACTTTAACTCATCTACTTGTGAGATATATATTTAACATTCTATTTACCAAAAAAATATGAAGTTATTCACAGATGTAAAGTATTAGTATATGTACATGTATTATCAATTAACATGTAAACATACATGATTAATAGCTTTGGCCCAAATTAACCAACATTGTTAATTATCAACTAGATTATGAAATACATAATAATCTGAAAATTCAGACTAGGCTATATACACAATAGGCAGAAAAATACTTTCATTTCAAATGTTCAAATATGCCATATATCATAAGCCCTCTGTAACGTAGAAAAATAGGTGTAGGTCACCCCGATTATATGATAACTAAATAAAAAAGGAGAAGATTTAATGATGGAAAAGTTATAGTAAGAGTAACATTGTTTGTTGGTGTGACAGCCCGCCCCCCCCCCCCTCCGAGAATGAACGGACCCCATGCGTGTTACCAAAATGTCCTTTTCGTAACAAAAGAAAAAGGTCGAGTCGTATTGACTTTACACACCGGACTTTTGCTGAAAAGGGGGGGGGGGGGGGGTCGCTTGGAACACGCATATGCATACCCTAAATAACACTGAGTGGGGGGGGGGGGGGGGGGTGTGACAGGCTTCTACCTAACAACCTGCTGGTTCATCTCACTGCCTCAAAAACGTGGACACAAAGGGAGTTACATGTAGATGTGCTGCTTGAAACACAGTCAGTATAGACATTTTTAATGTTTCGTGACTTTTGTGCGAAGTATCTGGTTGTAGTTCTGACTCTGTTGTGATGCAACTCTCACATTAATTGATTGTCATTCATGAGTATCCTACAGCTTCTCACACATGCTGTCCTCAATGAACTGATATGCTGCTGCCCATGCCTCCTGGACTTCTCCGCTGAAGACTGACTTGCCTAGGCCTTGTTTCAGGGTGAACATTAGGGCACTCTTGACAGCCTGTAAAGGAAATAGTAAAAAGTGAAAAAAAAATCGAAGTAAAAAATCGAATAGAGATAAACTATATGGACCAAATTACTGATAGAATTAACATGAAGAAAGAAATTTTCAATTTCATATAGTTAAGATAGGGTGAAGTTCAAATACCCGCGACGTTTCATATCGGTGTCTTTTTTTCTTCATTTCAGCTAGTTTTTTAATTTCCATTTATGGATATTGCAAGTCTTCCTCTGTCATTCTTTGGCTTCAATCATCAAGAGCAGATACCTTGAGCAAAAACTATTATTTTCAACACCACATTTCGGTAAACAGACATTGGGAGTGAAAAGTCTAAATTCACTGTCACTCCCTTGAAATAGATGCCTATTTCCTCATGAGTGTCAATAAATTATGTTAATCGTATGATGCATTCAGACCTTTGCAATTTCTTTCTCGGAAGATTTCCCAAGCGAATGCTCAAGTCTAGATGAAACACATGTACAATCAACTCACCAGGAAGAGTTCTTTCGTGACCCCGTAGCCAGAGTGCCTGGTTGCGAGCTGGTGGAGCATCGGAACCAAGAACTCCGGGTCGTCCAGGCCACCAACCACTTGACCCAGGGTGGTCATGAACCTTTCACCGTGACTGATCACCTCGTTCTCATTCAGGAGTTTCTTGTAGGGATACTTTTTCTTGCCGAAAGGGAAGAGCCTCCCGACCTTCGGATTGTCGCTGACCAGTCTAAGCAGACGATAGAAAAAGGGGAAAACACGTGTGAATGATTCAGGGGATATGTATCGTTTGCCACTAAATGAGTAAAAATTATATAAGGGAACAATCATGATACTGTTTCTTTGTTTTTTTACTTGCAAAAAAATAAATCTAAATTGTTATCATTAGTTATGATATTAGTGAGGCTGAGTAACCTTGTGGATAGGCGATCGCCTCGTACATGGAAGGTATTGTGTTCGATACCCAGCTAGTTCGTTTTTTTTGTTGTCATGATCCGCCAAACTTATACATACGAAGAAGACAATAGAGAGCGTGTATGTGTTTGTGGGTGTGTGCGCGTGTGTGTTTGAGTGATGGAGAGTGAGAGAGAAATGTAGTCATACGGTGAAATTTAATAAACTACTAAAAATTAAGAGCTCTATCCCACATCCACAATCTTATTCCTACATCCCACCGTGCGCTAGGACACAATGTTTAATATCGTCTTCAAGTTCTTGGGTCTTTTCAATCAATTATTTAAAGGACTAACTTACTTTGCAAACATGACCGCCCCATGTTTATCGGGAGCAGAAGCCATCATCTCCCACGTGCTCTCAACGAGTTCCCGCTGTTTCTTCGTCATCGTGTCGATATCCGTTGCCTTCTTACCGTCTGGTAACTTTGCAGACATTACGTCAACTATCAACTGGAAAACTGTCTCCCACGCCTGGCGGACGTCGTCCGTGAAATCCTGACCGAGCGCATCACTGATGGCGTACAGTAGCGCTTCCCCGGCAAACTGGTCAGAAAGATAAAATATTATGACAACGTCAACTAAGAGAACACAATAATAGCAACGACTTTAATTATAATATATTGTTAAGTTTGTATTATGAGACTAACTTTAAAAGGTTGAAAAGTTATCTATATTTGTGCATGCCAGCTTATAGTCTGAAAAGAAGAACCATAATATCATCACTGCCACTGCTATATTTCAGACGATATGCCCCATTTCTACTGAAGATACTGTTCCGTTGTCGAGGTTAATAATACCCGATCGATAATGGGCCTACGAGTTTTCTCCCAATTCGTTTTGTTCCGAAGTTACCTATCTTATTTGAATAAGTAAATGTTATCCATTTCTACTGCACTTCTTGGATAACTTACATCATAATAAAGTATATTGTTTCAGTCTCACAGTGTCTTGTTCTTCCCTTTCTTATTGTCGGGAGTATGTCATGCGACTATGGTTGAAAATGAGGTGTCGAAACATCCGTTTCTACCAAAGTTAAATTTGGCGGAATTTTGTTTTTGTTTAATGTGTTCAGGACGCAAATCTTGATTGATGTGGTCTTGCCCGGTTTTTTTCGTAAGTATTTTATTGACTGCTATTGTTTGAGCTAATCACATTCATGCTATCACATACCGGAATATGTTGCCTTGTGACACCAAACCCAGCGTGCCTCTTGGCGAGATCTTCAAACATAGGGATGAGAATCTCGTGATTCTCGAGATTCTCGATGGCATTGCCGACGGTAGCCATGAATTGACGGCCATGTTTCTTGACGTCATCGTTTTGGAGGAGTTGGTCGTAGGTCAGACCTTTCCCGCCAAAGGGAAAGAGCGAGCTGACGAGAGGATGGTCTGATGCTAGCCTGCAATCGAAAAAACAATTTTAAAGAAGATTGTATAATGATTTTAAAAAAGTATTAACCTGGTTGAATAAGTGATCGCGTAAGATGATTGTGGTTTACATTGAGGCTTGTTTTAAATGACAGCACTTTCATGGATTCAGGATTTATAGGTTAATAGATGTTATAACCTCGTATCTAAAAGTATTACAAAAGAGAATTTAGACTTCTGTTCTTCGGAGTAAAAAAGTTTAAGCAAAAGTTATTTTATAAAATCCTTACCGAAAAAAAGTTTGTATGATACCTTTGTAAATCATAACTTAAATAAATGTATATCGAGTCGGAGCTGCGTTAAATACCATTTTTATATCGACTCTTGAAAAAAACAAGAAGTTGGATTGGCTTAAGACTGATCGCATACAATCGTTTGTTGCATGCGATCGTAATCTGGGAGCAATGGAACGACATGGATCATTCAGGTCTGTGTCATTGTAAATTGGATAATGAAAGGAATGAAGCAAGTCAAGAAGATTCTTTCCATTACTTGGCAAACAGAACAGCTCCAAGTTGTTCGGGATTCTGACCCAGGACCTTCCATGTTCGTTTCAGTAGTTCAATATGGTTGGACGATATGGGTCCTTCAGGCAGTTCTTCCGACATCGTCTCAGAGATCAATTGGAAGATAGATGACCACGCACCTTTCACTTTGCTGGTGAACGACTGTCCTAGCCCCTCTTTGATGGCGTAAATCAATGCCTGCCCCACCGGCTGTGCAAGCAGAAGAAACAAATAGTAGTTACGAAAATATGCTATAGGAAACTACCAGGAAAGAATATTGTGTTTAGTATTAAAATCACAGGACTCTTGAAAGTAGCGTGGGTGGAGGAACAGAGACACATCCCCAATCGTACGATGAAAGTGGAGGGGAAAAGAACAAAGGAGAAACGGAATAGAACGCCAAAAGAAGACTCCCCAATGTGGTGGCAAACTAAATTCACAGTTACATGCACGGTGTACCTTAGTAAGATCGATGCCCCCGAACTTAAGTGTCCCCTCATTGCCAGTTCCGTTAAAACTTACTGTACAAGGTCATTAATGTATTGAAGGTATTATCTATTCGTTATTATAAGAAATGATCGATTGTCTGATTAAAATTTATGAATTTGCACTATTGCCTATCGAGAAAAAAATAGAGAGACGAACCTCAAAGTGCATTTTGGTGACGCCGTACTGAGTGTGCCTGAGTCCCAGGTCTTTCAAGGCGGACACGAGATTGTCCACGTTGTCGAGTGTGTCTACGGCCTGGCCGATGGTTTTCATCACCTTTGTTCCATGTTCTCTGACCATTCGATTCGAAAGCAGCTGACCGTAGCTCAAATTTTTATCCCCGAATGGGAATAGTCGGCCGACAATGGGGTTTTGTGTTGTTAGTCTGTGGTAGAAGGATAATATCGTGTCTATTAGCAATTTTGATTTGAAGGATTTCTCTGTATTATGCCAGAAATAGCTACAGAATATGGAAGCAAAACAAATAGAAAAGTATTAATCAGGACTGTAATAATATAGCTTTCTTTATTCTGATTTACGTCCAAAAGTATAAGGAATTATCATAAAAAATGAAAGCCCTGGACATCGTAAGTTAAAAAAATAAGTCAAGAAGAAACAAAATCGTTTTAGCGCAATTTCGGGTGTTCGTTTTCTTGCTCTTGATACACTTTCAGGTATTACAATACTAGACAACCCTGATAAATATTATTGATATAGTTTCAGCTATTTCACTTAAAAAAAAAAAAACTTTAGTGTTATTCATGAATTCCTCTGGGTCTTAAGATGTCTTTGATTATTGGGTCGACGAGACTTACCTTGCAAACATGACAGCGCCGTGTTTACCAGGGTCTGTTGATAGGATCTTCCAGGATTCTTTCACAAGCTGTTTGGTTTCCTGCGTTAGTATTGTATTCTCTGGCAAGATCTTGGACATGGTGTTGGTTATCACCGTGAATACAGCTTTCCAGGCACCCTCGACTTCTGTGGTGAATCGTTGACCCAGTCCTTTCTCGATGGCATGCATCAGTGCATCCCCAACGGGCTGTACATTAAAGAAATGCATGGCATGGTGAAGTTTCGTGGATAATAATTATGGAAGTCTGTATATCATTAAAATAGGTAAGTATACAAAAGTTACAGAAATGCAAGTGAATATGAATCTTGTTTTTAATCGATAAACAGCACCGTGCTTACAATCCAATTTCACGTACGGTAGAGTAAAGGCCAATTGAGTGTGAAAGAAATGTTGATACCTGACCGGTATATGAATGTTTTCCTCCGTTTCCTAGAGTTTAAGTAACCGATTTTCTAACTGCCTATAAATAAACCAAAATATGCATGATAAGAAACAGTGCTGTTTTGATTTTTGCCACAAGTATATATTATATATACATCTATAAATTAATTTTAAGCACTGTATTTTCACAGTAGCCAACGATAAAACAACTTTTAAGGTCTTATCACTCACTTTGAAGTTCTTCTTGGTTACACCGTACAGATGGTGTCTCTGTGCTAATTCTTCGAGGATAGGTACCAGTAGATCCAAGTCATCGAGACCCGCTACGGCATGACCCACGGTATCCATCACTCGTTTTCCGTGCGATTTTACTTGGGGATCGACAAGAAGTTGATCATAAGAAAGATTCTTCTTTCCGAAAGGAAATAGCCTGCCGACTGTGGGGTTATCTGTTACCAGCCTGTTGTAAGACATAATAATGTTAATAGTGATGAAGGAACAGTCTAATAACGCGTCTAGCAGAAGTTTTTAAACGATTAGGGAGACAGCAGGAAAATAGTGGTGTGTACATATCGACCACTTAGATCAATACACTTTCTGCGAAGTTTAATTTAGCTCAGTGCAATGGTTTCTAGCTCTTTATCAAAGTGTATACACGTTTTACTTTTGATGATTTCATAAAGTTGTACATGATATTCATTAAAATTTATGGATAAACACACAACATTTTGTTAAGTTTTTTTGTTTGATCAGTTTCACGGTTATTTTGGGGAAATTGAATGGTCATGCCTTTTGCAGGACAAGTCGTAACTGTACTGGTTTTATGAAGAAGTCTACTGTCGTTATATCATGTAAACGGTGTGACTGTGAAAAAATGTTACGTTGCACATACATACTTTGCGAACATGACGGCCCCATGTTGTTCTGGATTCGTAGACAGGGTCACCCAGGTCTCTCGAACAAGATTTATCTTAGCGTCGTCGAGGGATCCGTCTGGTAGTTCGGCGGACATCGTATCGACAATGACCTGCAGGACTGCAAGCCAAGACTTTTCGACATCGTTGTTGTAGTCGCTGTCAAGTCCCTGTTTGATGGCGTGCATCAGGGATTCTACAACAGGCTATGAGAAATGGGAATTTCCCGACAATTCAAATGGAATTCACCAACAAACAGCTATATATTCTGTATACGAAAATAACAGCTTTGATAAAAATTGGTATGACTTCAGAAGAAAAGACGGTCAATATTTCAACTTTGCTATATGAGACTCTATATCGAGAATGTCTTATTGCAGTTTTAGGCCTATTCATATAACTTCATGAATATAGTTCGTTTTGGTAATTTTGTAAGACAAAAGTAAACTAGAGATATGACTCATATATTAACATGCCTAATAATTAATATTCAAGTAATTTAGCTACCTGTAGGATAGAATTATAACAAGTTATAGAGAAACAACCAATAGTTGCCATTATTACCGAAAAGTGTTGCTTGGTGACACCATAAGATATATGTCTCGTCGCAAGTTCTTGTAACAGTGGCACGACCGATTCGAGATCATTGAGTCTATCCACGGCGCTTCCAACAGTCTGCATGACCTTGGTGCCGTGGGCGCGGACCCGCGGATCGACCAGGAGTTGGTCGTACGAAAGACCTTCATTACCGAATGGTAGCAGAGTACCCACTGCAGGATAATCTGTGACCAGCCTGGAAAAGAAATGATAGTACTATTATTATCATTTGATTATCCTGGTGCACCGCCACACAGCCAGTGATATAACTACGTCGCAATTTACTTGATTTGTAATTAGGTATACTTTGTACGCGTTAAGCATATTCAATTCAATTATTTTCGTAATCCTTGCTACGGCAATGCGCTATAATAGAATCTTAGTACAAAATCATAAAATAACTACAAATATGTAATCTAAATGATTTGATTGGAATTTCGCTTAAACAAGTACCGCCAAGGTTTATCCATGTGCTGGAAAATGATGGTCTTCATACGTTTGTTGGTAGCAACTTTATATCTCGTAATGCATAATACCCATCAGAGTTTATTTCATTGAATTAAATATAATTTGATAAAATCGATCTGGGAGCGGGAAGAAACCTACTTTGAAAACATTGTGGCTCCGTGTTTAGCTGGATTGCTGGATAACTTTGTCCAAGTCTTCTGTACCAGTCGTTTATGCTCAGCTGTAATGGACCCGTCTTCATTCAGTGGTTCAGACATTGTATCGGATATGATCTTAAAAACTGCTGTCCAAGCCAGTCTTAATTCTTCGTTAAAAGTATCTCCCAGTGCTTCTTTGATAGTTTCCAGAAGTACCTCTCCAACAGGCTTAAAAGGAAATAACATTTGATTTATGAGACTCGTTCATAATTTTGTGATGTGAAGATTATATGTTTGACGGCTGATATTTCATATTCATATAGCTACACCTCATTAGCCATTTTCCATCTGTAATAATAGTTTACACATGCTCGGACTTGACGGAGGGAGATTTAAGACGAGATAGCCTGGTAAAGAGAGAGGGAGGTTGATGGAGGAGAGCAAACTGATTTTAGAGAGCAAGGAGAGAGAGAGAGAGTGGGGGTAGAGGATCTTTAGGAAATTTAAGGATAACATAATGAACAAATTTCCAGATAACAACTGAATTGAAAAAACAAGTTTCACGATATCAAACACAATTGCCTTCTCTACAATGTCACACGTAGCGTAGTATTCATTATGCTACCCTTGCACTAATGGAGAGACTAATAACGCCAGACAGCAATGGTAATACCTCAAACAGTTGCTTGTTGACACCGTATCCCACGTGTCTCCCTCCAAGCTCCTTGAGGATGGGGACCAACAGATCAAGGTCATCTAGCCCATCCACAGCATCACCTACTTTCTCCATCACCTTCTTCCCGTGAGCCTGAACTTGGGCGTGCTTCAAGAGCTGTTCGTAGGACAGGTCTTCTTTCCCGAAGGGAAAGAGTTTGCCGACGTTGGGATGTCTGGTGAGTAGCCTGTGAGTTAATGTAAAAGAATTTCGTCAAATATAATATGATGAATGTAGGTTTGATTTTAAATTGACAAATTTAAAAACTATAATAATATTCCATTTGATATTCGCATATTCTCCATGATAACCTATATGAAATGCAATAAATACACAGGCCAAATCGTCATGCTTTCCTGTACTCTTACCAAAAATTGATGAAAGAGTCTATTCATAGTAGGCCTAATATCCATCCCTTTAAAATATGGATTCAATTTTAACTCAACAATATTAAAAAAACATTAATTTAGTTTGGGCAGCTACAATTTTCCAGGTCAAGAGTAATTAAATATACAATATAGTCGATACTAGTCTTGATAAAATATCAAGACGTTGCAAAAAAAAACACTTTTGTAACGAAATTTTACACATTCTCACTAGACTTTAAAAAACATTTTGTTTTTTAACTTGTGAAATAGTGAGTGAGTATCCAAGTGAAAGATTCAATTGCCTTTTCCCTCTTTACTTGTTTTCACCCTAGGTACTTACTTCGCAAACATCACAGCTCCATGCTTTGCTGGGTTCGGAGCTAGAACTTGCCACGTTCTTTTCACCAACTCCTTCTGCGCCGACGTCAAAGGGCCGCTGTCTGGAAGGACATCGGACATGGTGTTGGTAATGAGCTGGAAGACAGCCACCCAGGCACCCTGGATGTCTGGAGAGTAGGATGAACCAAGTCCTTCTTTGATGGCATGGATCAAAGCTGCACCTACAGCCTGGTTTAACGAAAGATGAAGAAGAGAGTAGTACTTCATATATTTTGAAAATTATATTTGCCTAAAGAAATGGTAAATCTTAATATTCCGTTCCGTCATTAAATATAAAATGTAGGTTAACATTGAAAACTTGGGGATATTACAGATTATTTGGGAAGAGAAATACTGGTCAATATCGGTCAATAACTCATTCTTGCCGTTTGATACATTATGGTATTCCGTTGCCAATAATTACTAATTAAAGTGTTGCCTTGTGACTTTGTAGCCTATATACCTCGTTGCTAGATCCCGCAAAAAAGAGGCATAAATGTTAACTCTTCCTCGCTTGGCAAAGTTACTTTTCATGCCTCTAGTTTTTGATAGACCCCTGAAAGGTATTGTATTTTTGTATAATATGCACCTTTTTAAAACTGTTAACCCACAACGGCAAAACAGAGTCAAAGAAAGGAATTATAAAGTGATGAATTTTATTCAAAATTGGAAGAGATTTAATGCAAAAGTTGATGGGGTAACTCAAGTTTATTCGGATCAGAAATTGCTTTTCCTAATTTCAGTGTTATATAAATCATGATCCTTAAAGTAAAAATTAGTAAAGGTTAGTATGGTTGCCCTTGTATTACTTACACTGAAGTGTTGTTTTGTGACTTTGTAGCCTATATGCCTCGTCGCCAGTTCCTGCAAAATTGGTACGAGGAGATCTAAATCGTCCAAGCCTTCTACAGCCGTTCCAACCGTCTCCATAACACGTTTACCATGTGCTTGTGCTTGGGGATCCTTCAGTAGCTGTTGGTATGAAAGATTTTTGCCACCGAATGGGAACAGATGACCTACATCAGGGTTCTCAGTTGTAAGTCTGTAAGATTGGAGAATTTCAAAGTAATCATTATGACGTAAAATTGCGATTTGCTTGACACTAAAACCCTATTTAACTAGCTGATGTCGGGTTCCAAATTACTCAACATTTCTTAAAGTTCAGAAGAGCCATATTCTATGGTTCTTTAAAATACTAATTTAAACTCATGTAGATAATTCATAACAAAGGAAAAATAATGATTCATCAACAAATGATTTAACTGGCTTGTAATACCACTTACTTTGCAAACATCACAGCTCCATGCTTCACTGGGTTAGGAGCTAGCACTTGCCATGTCTTTTTCACCAACTCCTTCTGCACCGACGTCAGAGGACCACTATCTGGAAGGACATCGGACATGGTGTCGGTAATGAGCTGGAAGACGGCCACCCAGGCACTCTGAATATCTGGAGAGTAGGATGAACCGAGTCCTTCTTTGATTGCATGGATCAGAGCTGCACCTACAGCCTGGTTTAATGAACAAAGTAAAGGATTTACTACCCGGGACAATCTGTAACAAGAGACTACAAAGAACTTGAAATGCGATCGAAAATATGTTAAAGAAATTAACCTGCGGCAAGTTCAATATCAAGAAGCACCGCTTTTCAAATGCACAGACATTGCAATGACACATTGCCTAGGGAACATGATGATTGTGGGCAATACAGCAGAGTATTGAACTTGCCCTTCGGTATGAAAGTATTTGTGATTGCGTTTTGATAGGATTCAAACCGAGAACAGCTAACGACTAAAACTAGATTCATATTAATTTGTAGATAGTAAAATTTCACATTTAATACATTAATATCTTCGTATTCAAAAGCCCAAAAAGGCTCAGGAAGTTTTTAAGGTGCTGTATCCGAGTATGAACCTTTTGAAGCTGTAACGCCAGAACGTCTATACAACAGAATGAAAGAAAGAAATATAAAATAGATGAATTTTAACCCAATTTTAAAAAATTCAATGTTGATTGAGGGACTAGGGTTTTATTCGAGTCAGAAGTGATGCTTGTACCTGGAGTGTTATACCAATTAGAATTCTTTATTTAAAGATTCGTCATAAGGTTCGTATAGTCGCTTTCATATTTCTTACACTGAAGTGTTGTTTAGTCACTTTGTAGCCTATATGTCTCGTCGCTAATTCCCGCAAAATTGGTACGAGGAGTTCTAGATCGTCCAAGCCATTTACAGCCGTTCCAACCGTCTCCATAACACGTTTACCGTGTGCTTGTGCTTGAGGATCCTTCAGTAGCTGTTGGTATGAAAGATTTTTGCCACCGAATGGGAACAAATGACCGACATCAGGGTTCTCAGTTGTAAGTCTGTGAAATCAGAGAGAGAGAGAGAGAGAGTCATACTATGTTTTATCCTTAAAATGCTTGAGGGAAGAACGGCATGCGTCTTAAAGCCGGGGTAATGTAACTTGAGCGCTAGGAGCGTCTAGTGTGACAGAAAGAAATGCTACAGAAGAACCCACCAGTGTTATTATTATTATTATTATTATATACTATTGATTTCACTTTGAACAATCGTATTTTCAGGACAATGGATACACTTTTCACCAAGACCAGCTTTGACTAGTTGAAGTCGAATAATACAGTCCTCGGTCATGACGACAGATCTTATAGCTCCAGATTATAATGGTCTCTTGAACAATCTTGTAGATATTCCGATACAAATTATTGTTAGATATTGTACTCTCGGTAAGAACTGTATGACCATGCCAGATGCGTGCTTTGTAAGGGACCTTTCACCATACAGTAAATGAGGAATATGACTTGAACTGTATCTTCTTTAAAAATTTTAACTCCATTTTGGAGAACTAAAAAAAAGGTGCTTTCAGGAGGGGAAACTGATATAGTTCGTGTAAAGACTACGACGTTGCCTAATTGGCTTGCAATACCACTTACTTTGCAAACATCACAGCTCCATGCTTCGCTGAGTTCGGAGCTAGAACTTGCCACGTTCTTTTCACCAACTCCTTCTGCGCCGACGTCAGAGGACCACTGTCTGGAAGGACATCGGACATGGTGTTGGTAATGAGCTGGAAGACGGCCACCCAGGCACTCTGGATATCTGGAGAGTAGGATGAACCAAGTCCTTCTTTGATGGCATGGATCAGCGCTGCACCTACGGCCTGGTTTAATGAACAAAGTAAAGGATTTACTACCCAGGACATTCTGTAACAAGAGACTATAAAGAACTTGAAATGCGATCAAAAATATGTTAAAGAAATTAACCCAAGGTAACTTAAATATTCATAGACACCGTTCTTTCAAATGCACAATCATTGCAATGACACGTTGCCTAGGACATGATTTTTATGAGCCATACAGCAGAGTATTGAAATTGCCCTTGAGTATGAAAGTATTTGTGATTGCGTTTTGATAGGATTCAAACAGAGAACAGCTTACGACTAAAACTAGATTCAGATTATATAGTATGTAGTAGATAGTAAAGTTCACATTGTTAATGAAATGCATTTTATACATTAATTTTTTTGTGAGCTCAAAAAGTATCAGAAAGTGTTTGAGGTGCTGTATCCGAGTATGAACCTTTTGAAATTGTAACGCTAAAACGTCTATACAACAGAATAAAAGATTTTTTTTTTTATAATGATTATTGAGGGACTGGGTTCTATTCGAGTCAGCAGTGATGCCTTGAAACTGGACTGTTATACAAATTAGAATTCTTTATGTAAAGCTTCGTCGTAAGGTTGGTATGGTCGCTTTCATATTTCTTACACTGAAGTGTTGTTTGGTCACTTTGTAGCCTACATGCCTCATTGCTAGTTCCCGCAAAATTGGTACGAGGAGATCTAAATCGTCCAAGCCATCTACAGCCGTTCCAACCGTCTCCATAACACGTTTACCGTGTGCTTGTGCTTGAGGATCCTTCAGTAGCTGTTGGTATGAAAGATTTTTGCCACCGAATGGGAATAGATGACCTACATCAGGGTTCTCAGTTGTAAGTCTGTGAAATCAGAAAGAGAGAGTGTGTGTGTGTGAGAGAGAGAGAGAGAGAAAGGAGAGTCAAACTATGTCTTATCCTTAAAATGCTTGATGGCTGAATGGCATGCGTCTTAAAGTCGGGGTAATGTAACTTGAGCGCTAGGAGCGTCTAGTGTGACAGAAAGAAATTCTACAGAAGAACCCACCAGTGTTATCATTATTATTATGATATACTATTGATTTCACTTTGAACAATCGTATTTTTCAGGACAACGGATACACTTTTCACCAAGACCAGCTTTGACTAGTTGAAGTCGAATAATACAGTCCTCGGTCACGACGACAGATCTTATAGCTCCCGATTATAATGGTCTCATGAACAATCTTGTAGATATTCCGATACAAATTATTGATTAGATATTGTACTGTCGGTAAGAACTGTGTGACCATGTCAGATGCGTGCTTTTTAAGGGACCTTTCACCATACAGTAAATGAGGAATATGACATGAACTGTATCTTCTTAAAAAATTGTAACTCCATTTTGGAGAACTGAAAAAAGGGTGCTTTCAGGAGGGGAAACCGATATAGTTCATGTAAAGGCTACAACGCTGCCAAGCTGGCTTGCAATACCACTTACTGTGCAAACATCACAGCTCCATGCTTCGCTGGGTTCGGAGCTAGCACTTGCCACGTTCTTTTCACCAACTCCTTTTGCGCCGACGTCAGAGGACCACTATTTGGAAGGACATCGGACATGGTGTCGGTAATGAGCTGGAAGACGGCCACCCAGGCACTCTGGATATCTGTAGAGTAGGATGAACCAAGTCCTTCTTTGATGGCATGAATCAGCGCTGCACCTACAGGCTGGTTCAACGAAAATTAAAGTGAAGATAAGAACTTCGTACATTTTGATTATTTTTATTTTTTTACTATATTTGCTTAAAGAAATCAAAAGTCTTAATATACCATTTCGTCATAATATATAGAATGCCGCTCAACATTTAAAATAAATGTGGGGGTATTACAAACAGATGATTTGGAAAGATAAAAATAGTTTAATAATGGTCAATAACCAATTCGTGCCGTTTGATAAATTAACATGTAAATGTACTTTTGTTGCCATTGTACCTTGAAGTGTTGCTTTGTGACTTTGTAGCCTACATGCCTCGTTGCCAGTTCCCGCAAAATAGGTACAAGGAGGTCTAAATCGTCCAGTCCATCTACAGCCGTTCCAACCGTCTCCATAACACGTTTACCGTGTGCTTGTGCTTGAGGATCCTTCAGTAGCTGTTGGTATGAAAGATTTTTGCCACCGAATGGGAACATATGACCTACATCAGGATTCTCAGTTGTAAGTCTGTAAGATCAGAGAAAATTTATCCTATAATGCAGTACGTCAACCTGAGACCAAAGTTAGTTTAAAATGGATTAGCAATGTCGAATCGTACAATGTTCACTCGTTGATTTTACATGTGCTTGCACTTTGCTTCTTGATAAGCCAATACAAGTCAGTGTTCAATTTCACTTACATTTTACGCTAACAAGAAATGTACAAGCCCAAAAGGAATGGTCGTAAACAAACCCGTTTAACAGTATCATCTAAATTTCGTTTCCTCATAATTTTAGTAAAAAACAGTAAAATCTCTGTCAAACTGTTAGGTCGTGATGATAATTACCATCGTCATTCGTTAATATGAAAACAATTCATGCCGATATTTCAACAATAACGCAAAATATGAAATTTAAGCAGGGATATAATTTACCCGAATAATTGGCAAGAGTTTGTGACTTTGCGAAGATATTTTGCGTATCATAATGTGAGATATAAAATGCTTTTCTGCCTTGAATAATGTGTACATGGATACTAACTTTGCAAACATGACGGCTCCATGTTTTGTCGGGTTCGTGGCAAGTTTCTTCCAAGTGGTTTTGACCAGTCTTTTCTGTTCGCGCGTCAAAGGTCCTCCCTCCTCCGTGGAGCTAGGTAGTATTTCAGACATGGTGTTTACAATTATAGAGAAGACGGCCATCCAGGCTTCTTTGGTTTCATTGTCAAAGGTATTCCCTATACCCTTCTCTATTGCGTAGAGCAGTGCTTTCCCAACAGGCTGAAAGTGAATAAAATATATCTATTTATCACTACATGCGGCGAGAATATGATTTGCATTTAATTAATTTTTACTATTCGTTAATCACTACATTTAATTTTAATGATTACCCCTAAGGCCACAACGAAGAGGAACTTTTTGTATGAGATGCAGCATGTTACATCATTTTATTATTATTTTACCAATCTGTATAGGTCAGTTGTTTAGCTGTAGTACTATCGTTATAGAAAAGGGGGACTTTGTCACATCCATCACTTTAATTGTGTTCGTCGACAGTGATTTTCTGGATTTATCATCAATGTGAAAGCTAACAACAGACAAACCTCAAAGTGCGTCCTGTTGACATTGTACTCGATATGTCTTCTCGCCAGATCTTGGAGAATGGGAACGAGGACATCGAGATCGTTCAAGCCATCTACAGCATGTCCGACGGTCTGCATCACCTTCTTGCCATGTGCCTTGACTGTGTCGTCCCAAAGCAATTGGTGGTAGGATAGACCCTTGTTTCCGAAGGGAAAGAGATGACCCACGTCAGGATGATCTGTGAGCAATCTGAGATTACAAGAGAAGAAGACACACTTGTTATTAAAATTAACTAACTTTTATTTAAAAAAAAAAAATGTATTTTGTGCAAATTTATTTCAGTCAGCTAGGAGGTAACTTTCAAAGAATCTAAGAATTTAATTAATAATAATAATAATATTTAGCTTTTATATAGCGCTTAATACAGTGTCTCTAAGCACTTCACAAATATACTATTATCTCGCTATTCACGAAAAGAGATATTGGAAATTGACGATGTATCTCTTTCATATCATTTTACGAACCTAGCGAACATGACGGCGCCGTGCCTTCCCGGATCTTTCTCGAGCATCTTCCATGTTCTCTGCACTATTTCCTTCTGGTTCCTTGTTATAAGACCATCCTCGGCAACAGCAACGAGCTGCTCGGACATGGTGTCTTCGATGAGCTGCCAGAAGGTAAGCCAAGCGTTCTTAGTGTTGTCGTTGAAGGAACTTCCCAGTGTTTCCTTGAGTGAATTTATCAAGGCTCTTCCTACTGCCTGTGATAGTTAGATGTTTTGAACAAGGTTGAGATAAATTTGTCTTATCGTTCTCTACGTGAAAATTAATAGTCATAATCCTCTATATCATAACACCCTATGGTCTGACACCTGTATATTCCGTCATAGACTCCAACCCTGGAAACTCTCATAACGTCCCCGCTGTTTTCCAGTACTGTATAAAAGGTGGTATATGCCAAGCAGCATAACACCGTACAAATGGAGAATCAGTTGTAAAAAAATTACAATAGCTGTATAATATTCAGATGTATTCAAAAGGTACAGCTGAATGTAAATTGTTTAAGAATAATTTGTTGAAATACAATCTTGTTGGAACTTACTGCAAAATGTTCTTTGGTAACTCCGTACGCGACGTGTCTCTTGCCGAGGTCTCTGAAAAGTGGAAGGAGTTTGTCCAGGTTATCTAACACTCGGATGGCATCACTAATTGTCTGCATAACTCGAAGACCATGAGCCTTAACCTTGTCATCCATGAGGAGACTCTGGTATGACTTGTTGAGTCCACCAAACGGGAAGAGCCTTCCTATATGTGGGTGCTCAGTAACTAACCTGGATGAAACACAAATATTTCATTCTCAATTAGTTGCAGACTCTCGTGAACCTGAAATGACGGTTACGTTAAGGTAGCGACTTATTCAGCATAGGATGGAGCCGGCGAATGCCCCACCATTGTTGAAAGGAAAATGAAAACAACAAATACAGCTGGCAGAGGGTTAACGGCCAGCGTAGTAGCTGAGATAAATTCAGCCATCCTTTCCGAGAGCATTTTACACCTCTTGTTTATCATTTTTATGGATAAGCAACTGAACATGCATGATGAAGATCGTTATTAAATTACGAGCTAAGTCAGAGAGCGATGTACATGGTGGAATTGTCAACACGCCGATATACACAAATGAGAAATACGTATTCATGTCATTGATCTATTTCTTTTAATTCATGGAGAGGGAACAAGGGAGATATGTATACCAGTTATGATGATATTGTGAACTAGCGATCGACAATCAATTAACTTGCCATATATTTATAAATGTGCCACTTTAATCGTGAACTGGTATTCCAATGCCTTCCGCGTCTCACTCTCCTTGTTTACTGATCCCCATCCACATTTCCATATTCATATAAAGTATTTCCTCCTTTATCATAAGCATTAGTCTCTTTGATGGGTAAACATATCATTGTTCTGTTGAATGATGGCCCAATGGATGGACCTGGAAAGGATAACATTTCGTAAGGTTTTTTGCCTAATTTTTTGGGGTACTACCTATCAGAATAAAATGAATATGAGTTTAGTACCACACAAATGTGGAATTTGAATATATTATATATGTAATTTTGGTCATCATAAAATGAAGGTACACCACATAATTGATATTATTGCTATCTTGATCTAGTTCGGGTAAAAGCAAATCAAATTAAATCCTTTCACAGCAAACCATGGGAATGCGTAAAAATACAAATAACTTTCTACTCAAACAGCTAAACACAAAAACTTTGTTTCTGTATACATTAGGTTTTTAAATATTAAACCATATTAAAACAGTGAACAGTAGAAAAGAACCTGTAATCATAATGTACAATGAGGATTCCATTGGAGAAAGCTGTTATTACTTTACATACATGACATAAAACACTAGAACAAAATTGGCCAATGGCTATGGAATGCGACAATCTACGAAGACGCGGAAATGTCTTCTATCAAGGAGAATCAATTCATTTATTCCCATGAAATCAAGTCGTATACGTCGTAAAATCGGCTGCGTAAATATAAAAAAAATATATAACATTCATTACCCCGCACGTAAAGAAGAGCAAGTCTTGGTGTTTTTTATGAAATACTTTTCCTTTGAAAACTTTTAAGGAGGAAGTTATCATTCTTTTAAGTGAATTAATTTGTTTAACAGATGTAAGGACATTGCATGATATAATCTTGATGTGAGGGCTCAGAATAAGTTCATCACATTAGCATTTTGTTCATCACGCTGATGAATCATTAGTCAGAGCGCCCTTTGGACCCGTTCTTAAAGATAACGCTTATATGATGCTGCTCAATCTGAACAGGGAAATTCCTCTCAGAGTTTGTTTAATGAAATCAGCACCAATGTGTGAATTCGACCATTGCTTGGTATGGCAATGTTTTTTGGTATTGAGATAATGGTAGAGAGAAGGCTGTGGCTTGACTGTACGATTTAACCAACTGCCCAATGCATTTCACTTTTAATAGGTTGATTGACCATTATTGTTTAATTTTTATGAGGCGAGGAGAACGGGGTCACACAAAAAAAATCTGGCGATCTATCATACTGGCCATTCAATTGTATCGACACAAGTCACGCAAGAATTAACACATGATTTCAGACTTAGACAGTGGATTATGTACGTACAGTATATACATACATATACATGAATAATGGCAATTAGATTTAAGACAACAACACTGGATTCTAGGAGGCAAATTTGCAATTGAATGAATGTCTTTTTGGCAATTTTCTGATCAAGTGCGACAGTTCTGTATATTTACCATCCTTATAATTTTGAAAGCACCATTTATACGCAGACTACATCCTCTCTGTGTCTCTGCCCTCCCCCTCTCTGTCTCTTTCTCTCCGTCTCTGCATTTCAAATTCTCGTAGTAGCCTTTCTCGCCCCTCTCGCTCATTCTCCTCTCTTTTAATCACTCTCTCTCTCTCTCTTTAAAAATTGTCTGGAAAACAGATTTTAAAATGGCGCCTGGTATAACAAAAACTAAAATACATTATGTGAAGCAAATGAAAAGTAATTCCAACTCACTTTGCGAACATGACGGCGCCACATTTTGCTTTTTCTGGCGCCACACTCCTCCAGGAACCCTTGATGAGATTCTTCTGTTCGGTGGTCAATCCACCAGCGGGAAGTAGAGGCGACATGGTATCAGCGACAACTGAGTAGACAGCTGTCCATGCAGCCTCTAGCTCGGGTGTGAATCTGCTTCCGAGACCTTGTCGTAGAGCGTGTATCAGAGCTCCCCCTACAGGCTGTGAGAGACAGATGAGAAAAATAAACACCGATTAAAATGAATTCAGTCAATGCAAAGCTGTTACATGTTTTGAAGTTTTCAAACTTTTTCAATTTCTATCTTGCTTACTCGTCTTCGTCAACTCTTTTCCTCATTTATCTGCACAAAACACAGGCATGTGATTATCCTTTGTTTGCGTTGGTAGCTTAAAACGTCAAACCAAATTATGTCTAGCTAGTAGTATACCATTATAGGCGCCCGCAAGTAGTGAAACGCTTACTTCCGAGTTTGGCTGGCTGTATTTTGAATGCCAAATACGCAATGGTAAGCCGGGAGTTAATACGAACCTATTATACACTATTAACGCTCTAGAAAATTTCAAGTGAATATCATGAAATTTGGGTAACTCGTATCTTGTTGCGTGTAAATCAATGACCCCTTCGCCATCATAGCAATGCAGACCTATGTCCTACCTATTTCTTGTTGAATAAAAATTATTATTGATCCTCTGCATGGGTTCGTATTTTAAACTCTTATCTTGAGTATAGACCGAATTCCTCGTGTGGGAGGTTGTCGTTGATAAACACTTTAGTGATGTAAATAATAACCGTTCAAGATAAAGCTTAAAGTAGTTATCAGAAAAAATTCCTCGAATCCGCATGACGCACTTAAAACATTTTAAATGGAATGTGTCTCTTAAAAATCGTCCATCATAAAATAGCCCTAAAGGGGTTATGCCAAACACTTAGCACCACAAAGGCTTATGATCTCGAACAATAACACAATTTTTGTCACCCATTCAGGCTCCATTCATTCAGAAAATTCTCTTCTTTTCTTGTCCTGTAATAGTTATAAGCCCTGACCCTAGGCCATCGCTACGAAAGTGAGAAAATCCATCATAGTTTGCGGTTTCTTGAATATTGTCAAAGTTTTCAAATGTGGTGAGATTTCTCATGTGTTTTACGAACATTTTCTGCTTTGCCTTTTGGATCCCTTAAAAAAACACACACCGGATATTAGGCCCTTGTTTGGGATTTATTTTTTAATAGAACTCTCAATATGTGAGGTTGATGATTGATGTGGGGTAATTTTTCCAGCCTTTGAGCTCATATATTTCGATGGAAGGCAGTGCGTAGATATTGTATGATATCGCGCATCTATTCTAGGAAAATGAAACTTGTTTGTCACTACAGATTAACGTTTCCACTATTTTGCACAATAATAAAAAAATAATGAAATAATTTTACAATAGATAGGAATCTGATACAAACTTAAAAGTGTAGCCTACCTTGAAATGTTGCTTTGTGACGTTGTATCCCACGTGACGCTTGGCTAGATCCTGCAGTATCGGGATCAATAGTTCCAAGTCGTCCAGTCCAGATACGGCCACCCCTATCGTGTCGATGATCCGCTTTCCATGGGCACCAAGATCCTTGTTGGCGAGGAGCTGGTCATAACTGAGGTTCATGCTCCCAAATGGGAAAAGTTTGCCGACATGTGGATTGTCTGTGATCAACCTGTAGTAGAATAGATAGTGTTTCAAAGTTGTGACAAAACATATAATGCCAGTTTTACATTCACTATGCGTTTGTAGTGAACCATAAATACTAATGATAAGACTGAATGTATACCACGCTTAATACAAGCAGAACATCATTTTTCCGCCATCGGAATGAGAACTTTAAAAAAATTTAGAGCATGTCAAATGCTACACACGTTGTGGTTGGATTCTGCCATTTTATTGATCATGAATTCATTTGGAGTCATTGATGTCACTCAAGACATACATGAGCATGAATAATAATCGTATCAACGAGGAGAAGGATTCTGTTGATGATTCTTACTTGGCAAACATTACTGATCCGTGTTTTGTAGGATCCTGGCCGATTGTCTTCCAGGATTTCTGCACGAGGCTCTTGTGTGTTGCCGTGATGGGTCCATCAGGGACTACCTCAGCCATGGGGTCAGTGACAACTTTGAAGAGGACAGCCCATGCATCTCGGACATCAGACGTAAATGAGGAAGGACCAACGCCAAGTCTTACCGCGTGCAGGAACGCTTCACCAGTTGGCTATATAAGAATGAGGAAATTGTTAGATAATTAAATATATATATAAAAATAGAAGATACATACAATAAGGAGAAAGCAACGGAATCTATTGGGAAACTTATGCTCAAATATCCCACATAAAAGAGTGATTGTTAATTATGGAAACTGCCTCCTGTTTGGTAATTTTGATACTAAGGAATGAAGAGACACTTACAACGAAGTACCGCTTCTGGACATTGTATCCGACATGTCTCTGCGCCAGATCCTTGAGAGTTGGCATAAGTAAGTTGAGATCATTGAGACCATTGATCGCTTGACCGACAGTCTCAAAGACGCGTCTTCCATGAGCCTTGACGTCCCGATTTCGTAGCAGCTGCTCGTAGGAGAAACCTTTCCCGCCAAACGGAAATACTTTACCAACCTCTGGATAAGAAGTTGTTAATCTGAATATATAAAAGGAGATACCTTAAAATGAAGGAAGTCAAACATAATAACTGATATCCTAGAAGGAGATTTAGACCATTACCTTATTATTTATATTCGTTATTTCTTCAAGCGAGTGAGAGAGAGAGAGAGAGAAAGAGAGAGAGAGAGAGAGAGAGAGAGATGTAGAGGAGAATTAGGTACCCCCTTTACCAAAATTGGCAAGGAAGATACTCAATTCGGGAAATTAAATAAAAAGGGAATACCCAAATAAGATACCGTATTTTATTATAACGAAAGCGGGATTTTTTCTCCTGAGAACACCACGTGTCATAATTGTTACAATAAAACGATGTAACAAAAAAGAATCTTCAAAAAAACAAAAATTGAAGGGGGAAAATGATACCAAGAACATTCTACTCACTTGGCAAACATGACGGATCCATGTCTTTCTGGATCTTTAGATAACTTCTTCCATGTGTCCTGGATCAAGCGCTTCTGCGTTGTAGACATGACCTCCTTAGGTCCCTCTGGAAGCATGTCGGACATGGTATCCACAACCAGCTTGAACACTGCCAGCCACGCCCTTTCCACTTCTTCGCTGAACGATCGGCCAAGTCCCTCCTGGATGGCATGCATCAAGGCTTCACCGACGGGCTAGGAAGTCAAGCCAAGATGTTATTCATTATAGTTGAAAACCCTGTAACAGAATATATCACGACTGAGGGGAAAGTCTATCATCCAGGAAATACAAACTCTTTTTGTCTTCACTTAGGAATTAATAAAAACTATGCATGTCGATTAAGCCATGGACCTTACCATCATGAACAGGTTGTGTATCATTAATGGTAACAATTCCAAACTTATGCATCCACATCATGGTCTTACCTCGAAATGCTGTCTGGTGACACTGTACCCCTCGTGTCTCCTGGCCAGATCACGAAGGATAGGCACCAGGATATCGAGATCGTCGAGGCTTCCGACTGTCTGTCCGATGGTCTCCATCACCCGCTTGCCATGAGCTCTCAAGGTCGGGTTCTGCACGAGCTGACTGTAAGAGAGATTCTCGCCGAATGGAAACATTTGAGCAACTGCAGGATGGACCGATATTAGTCTGTAAAAAACAGGGTAAGTGGAGATGGATCAAGGGTCAGTGCTGTTTCAGAGAAGGGTGTCTTCTACATCCATCATGTCTATAAAATGCTGTCCATCGGACTCAAATGGTGCATGTATCATAAATGGAACATTATTATTTTTACCCCATTTCCATGACATACAAAAACGTATGCAGTCTCGTAACCCCATAAATCTCGAGGTTGACAAATACCAAACTTGGCAAAATGATCATGGATTAGGAGATCGAAGTTCAGTGAGCATGGTCGAGATGTATATTGTTTTTAAAATATCCGTATTACGTACTTAATATGTAACATAAAGTAAAGGGGTTCTCAAGGAGGTATATGACTTATCTATCGCGGTATAGTACTTTGCGTAGTCAGTCGGGACAAGGTTTACTGTCTCCATCATAGTTATGCTCTTTACGTGAAGCTCTTTCACATACTTGGCAAACATGGCTGCTCCGTGTTGTTCTGTATCAAGAGAGAGCACACCCCAGGTCTTTTGTACTAGCTCCTGCTCCCTGGCCGTCAGAGGTCCACCGGATAGCTTCGTTGACATCGTATCAGACACGATGTTATAGACGGCAGCCCATGCAGCTTTCACCTCGGGTGTGAATCCAGCACCCAAGGCTTCTTCTATGGTGAATAGAAGGGCTCCACCAACAGCCTAAACCAAATATTAAGCGAACGTTAATTTCAGACAAATGTATCATGAAAATCATTGGATTTTGTTTGTAGGTGTAAGAAAGGATTGTTGATAGCGGGAATCTTATAAAATCCGTGAGAAGAGGTAGGCAAAGGATTTCACCCATTCTTTTGCAAAATAATATTACTTTCAAGTCGCTACAATTTGTTTTCAACATGGACGTGTTATGTGATTAAAAAGTATTTTCAGCTGTGCGAAATAATATGAAGGTTATTACATTTCTACAGGAGATATCAAAACGTAAGTCATTCGAATATCTTTACAGGTCTCGTACATGTCTTTACAAAATCAAGTCTGTGTAGCTTAACGAAGTCCATGATAAATTTATAGTTATTGGATTTAATCCCTGCTTAATCCTAAAAAAATATTAACTTGACATTCTTACATGATCATACTTTATTATCCATAAAAATAAAGACTCGAGCAACATTCCTCAACACGCTAAATTATCCCACACCACACATGCCGGATAGAAAGCAAAATGTTTCACTTTGCTATCTATTCAAGAATGTAAGACATCTCCGAGTGCTAATAAACACAGTATTAGATTTCACGCCATATAGGCCCATTGACAGATATATGAAATTTAAATCAAACCATATTCAAAACGAGAAAACCAACTGTTTGGTCACATCCTTACAATAATGTGTGTCTTCTTGGCGTTGTAAGCATTGTGTCTCTGACCGAGGTCTTCGAGGATCTGAATGACGAGCTCCATGTCGTCCAGGTCTTCGACCACGGATCCAAGGGTTTCTATGACCCTCTTACCATGCACACGGACATCGGGGTCGACAAGCAGTTCTCCGTAAGTCAGATTCTTTCCACCAAAAGGAAATAACTTTCCAATGTCTGGATGATCAGTTGTCAATCTATGGCAAACATTTAGAAAGATTAATGATTCAATGATAAAAGGTAGTACACTGATTAAATGCTGAAAAAATCCAGAAGATTACGTTACATTATAAGGGAGTTTACAGATACAATCTGCGCATGGGCAGATAAAGGTCATTTGTACCAAAAAGGTAAAACCCACAGAGAATTATACTGGATATGCGCTCATGAAAGTTATGTAATATTATTCATTTATGCACCAACGGTACATTCTATGATACGCAGGTGGAAGTATTCTTTTCAAGAGGGCAAACAAAAGGTATTCATGAAGCACATATAGGACTTTGGCAGTTATTATTCTGATATGCTCAAAGTGGAACTTCTCCTTGTGTAAAAGATCTGTGGATATTTGGGTTCATTTGTACCATGTGCTATCTGTAAACTCCCTTATTAATGTCTCAACGTTTCATTTAATCTCATCAAGTTTGGGAAACTTACATAAATCATATGCTACTTATTTTTTTGTTTACGAACAGAGGACATTTTTCATTTATAGAAATGCAACTAAACATGTTTAAAGGGACTTGGTAACATTGTCTGAATGAGAGAAAATGGTGATGAGATAGTGAGTTCAATGCTAGATGTAAAAGATAAAATGAAAGTTTGAGTGAAAACAGACCATTATTAATGATGATGACAATTGAGAAAAACTGATCTGATCGATTCCTTAATTCTCCCAACTATATATATATATATATATATATATATATATAAATCGTCGCAAAGCAATGAATTGGCTCTAAATACCATTCCAGATATTTAAGTGTTGAAAGATTTTTAAAAAATTGTTTTAAGTCTTTATATTCATGGAAACGATTAGGAAAATTCAAAAATGGTTGGGAGAATTTATTTTTAGAGCTCGTTGCACAGTGACGCCTTCAAAGAAAACCATAAATATCTTTGTGGTTTGAGAATATTTAAAGAAATTTTTGCATGTTAGACTGTTAGAGGGTTAGTATATACAGTAGAAGGAATACTAACATTTTGTACAAAAATTACGCGGTTTTTTTGTCAACCTTCCACAATGTTACCGAGTAAAGGATACGTCCAGTATGAATTTCTGATGAAAGTTAATAAAAATGAGGGAAATTATGGAGTGTCAAGTCTTTTAGCCCGGATGCTGTGACAGCTAGGATACAATTTATTACCCACAACACGGACAACAACACAAAACAATCTTCATTCCTCTCTGATACTTCCTTGCAGAACAGAACAGAGTATCAAAAAATGGAATCGGATATCATCCATCAAGATGAATGACGGCGTCATAAATTTTCACCAGAGAAGGTTTGATAAACTCATTTTTTATATTTTAAGCAACGGTATAACAAGTACCCACTCCATTCAAATTTGATTAAGAATCCACCATGTCCTTCACCATCGAAATCTTACATGCTTTCAGTCAATTTAGACACCATCCGCGATAATTGTTCAAAGGCGAAAAAGAACAAGAAGGTTCCTAGGAAACCCTCTTTTCGACTCGTTCCTTCACAGAGCCTTGGCCATCAACGTCAACTAAGTGCGGGAAATACGATTACCACCTCTTTTATCAAGAAATTCACCGCGACATCCATTTAAAAGGTCATACGACCATGGAATCATCGTGGAGTTGTGTGATAACTCCTTTGTCTGACTTTTACCATACACACTCTAAATACAATTACAGTGCACAGAATCGCTTGTTAACTGGTATTTTCGTCATTATTTCCATATCCTCCTAGTGATGGAAATCCAAGGCTCTTAAAATATCGGTGTTGGCACAATGAATACATAGATTTGCAACGCATAGTAGTAATTATTGACGATCGCTGTGATTAAAGCGATACATGATCCAAGGATTTAAGAGTTGGACAGTGCGTTTAGCATTTACAGATGTATGGTGTATACTGAAAACTAGATTTGTTCAATCTCTTAAAGATGTTAATCAGTCACACCTGCCGCGTTCAAACATAATTATCTAAAGAATGATTTGTTTAACGAATATCGAGTATGCACAAATCCCAACATGGAAGAGTTTAATGGGCCTGGAAGCCGGTGATGCTCTTTTTGTTTTCAACGAAATATGTTTGGAAATGTAACCACAAATTTAAGTACCACTATCTTCCATTTTGGTGTAATCTTGCTGTTCTATATCAATTGTTTTGCTGTTGCCAATCATAGGATATCGGAATGAAGAGACACCCAGCAGCACACACCCCCCCCCCCCCCCCCCCCCCGGTGGAAAAGGTCTCTTGGAGGTGGCTGAAGAATTTCTGCGTTAACAAATACATTTGATCATTAACAAAGTAGGGCTAGTCTAGCTGTCAACCATTTAGAAATTGCCCGTCTTCCCTTTCATTGAACATAATTATTTTGAGTGCGTGTGAAATGTGCCCACACAAGCAGCTACTAAGTCCCATTCATGTCAGTGGCGTCTATACGTCTCTCTCCCTCTTTCTCTCTCCAGCCACCCTCTCTTTCTTTCTCCGCTCTTGACTTTTTATTTAATGTTATACAGGGACCGCGAGTGAAGCATGTTGATACTAGTTGGGTACAGGTGATACACCAAGCGACACTGTATAAAGCATAAAGTATGTGAACCAAATATATTTGGAAAATTTCGCTTGTAGTAGAGGATGTTTAACATTGATATCATTATCTTAAAATCTATCATGAAATTACATGCGTACAAATTATAATCGCAGGCATACGTACAGAAATCGGTTTGTGGGATCGCAGTAGTCAAATGCATTTTCATGAAAATTATATTTGAATGAATAACGTGAGTCATAAAGAATTATAACTCTTTACATGTGATACACATGATGATACATATATAGCTTGCATGTAGACTTCCCAAAATAAATTCGACAAATACAACATTCAGTTATGTAAATGCACCTACATGTGTTGGATATCATTGTGTCGTTTCATTGTTAATAATGCTTTTAAACTGGTGTTGATGAGCTAAAATATCAATACAAATGTGCGATGCTCTTTGAGTTAGGGCTATAGCAAAAAATATATTAAAAAAAAGAGAAACACCCCTTAAATTATTTATACAATAACCCACTTTTTTCACGAGAAAATTCTCCAACTAGGCTACAGAAGCGAAAAAAGACTCACATGCAGTTCCAGATTTATATCAATGTTGATATCATCTGATAAAAGATTTAATGATTTCTGTTCAGATTTTCATCACCCAAAACGAAATATATGCCTCCCACGTCTGTTGAAAGTTTTACGGCAAATTGTATAAGCTATAAATATACACAATTTTGGAGGCTTAGCTTCAATGTTTCTCCAGGGGATTACGGCTCTACCGGGTTTTTTAACTGGAAAATTTGTTAACTTTCCTGTTATTTCGTTGAGAAAATAAGGTCGAAGTGCAGCCATGTTATATTAATTTAGATCATCGAGACTGAGAGAAGGGGAGAGGTGAAAAAAAAACTTGTGAGCGTTTTCGTTGTTATTATGCAAGTGTGGAAAAGCATTAGAGAAAAAATGTTCCCTGAAAAGCATGGCTCTTCAAATGCCTTCATATTCTAAGTATGACAACAGCTTAAAAATGTGGGCCATATTTTGATGCCACATGTTTGTGTGGTCCCATATTTCTGTGTACAGTGCTTGTTACTTTTACCAGGCTGGGCCAAGTGATATTGATTTCTTTAGTTTATTGATGGAAAGTGGAATTACGTACATTCCGTTACATGGTTTGCGTGTCAATTGAAATAACTTAAAACTAAACAAGAACATACTGGTTGCATAAACATTATGCGGCTCTTGACTTCTGCATATACTGAGTAAAAGTGTGCATTTTCAGACGTAATGTTCGTTTACCTTCTCACAGACAGTACTGTCAAAATTAAGACCAATAACAATTGCAACAACATTAAAATTAACAGTTTGATAAAATGTATTAACTTTTGGCAAAACAGTCCCAAAAATACCAGGGACAAAACGTCGATCGGAAACATAATTACACTAGTGGAATATGGGTGCCATGGGAACACCTGCACCTAATTTATCTCTTCTCGGAAAGTCGCCCATCTCGGTTAAAGATAAATTTGAGTTCTGGTAAAAAAAACAAAAAAAACGAATTTTTAGAGAATCAAACGAAACTTACACTGAATGTTCGAGATTACAAATAAATGTCATTTGCCTAAAAATTTAGGTAGAAAATGTATACTGGCTGAGTAATGAGCATAGAAAGATAAGGAAATCAAGGTACTGAGTAGGCCCAACACCATTTTGTATAGTCCCATATACATCTTTCTGTGTACAGTGCTTGTTAGTTTACCAAGAATGGGCCAGATTTAATATGATTTTGATGACTCCAGAACCTTGCAGTACACACCAATACTTACATGCTACATGATCAACTTTGTCTGATCCATTCCACACCTTTTCTTTCACAATGCAATCGCATGCCCAGAACTCAACACTATCTTTAAACAGTTGGATGGTGGTTCTCAGTCAGGACTATTAAATTACTTACTTGGCAAACATGATAGAACCATAGAGCTCTGTATTCTTTTCTAGAGTCTTCCAAGTATTCTCTACCAGGGTCTTCTGTCTCTCATCCAGGCCAGCGGTCATTGGTGCCGATGATGATGATGATGTGTCAACCCTTGGTTCTTGAATCAAAGAGGCGCTCGAACCCTGAAACCCAAGGTTCTCCAGTCCCCTGTCACCTTCCATTCCGAGCACGACTGAACGAGAAGAATTGTTCAGAAGTGGCATTTTCTGTAGGATAAAATTCAAAACTTATTTAGAGAGTAGATGAGTCCATCCATCGTTCCATTCTGGTGTTTTGTTTTTTTTTCTTTAAAAAAATGAAATAGATCCATCGGTGTGATTTTAAGGCCCCCTTTAAACAATTCATCTTGTAATTACCGCACCTCCAAACCGAATGAGTCAATCTTTGAATATCACATTATAGGGCCTGGTAAAACTTAACTCCCACAATTAACTAATTGGTTTCAATGATACAATGTAAGAATTATGCATTTTCACCACGAGAAAACTCCTACATGCACGGTCGATGTCAGAAAGTTTAATGCACGTGAAAGCGGCCAATTTCATCAAATAAAGGTTTCACAAAATAGAATAGATTAAATGCACATAACACAGGAAAATGTTATCCTCCCGTCTCCAATGACTTCTGTGACTGTATCAGTTTGTATGACTGCTGAATAAGGTTGAGGAGCCTTACCAATCAAGGAAATAAACACCAGACCTAACATGAGATACCCGACATGCAGTTTACCCTACTTTACTATTAATTTCTGGTCCACCGTCGCATTCTTCGCTCATTTTCACTAAAGTGTGTGGAAAAATCATATGATGGAATTATGTGGCTTCAACTGAGAGATAAGCGGCAAAACGATTCATTTTATATTTGCATATGTTACCTACCCCAGAGAACTCGAGCAGAGGTGGACATGCAGAAGAGTTTTTTGATAAGTTGTTTTCAGGATTGTACAAGTATAAAGATCTGGGTAAAATCCAGATATGTGGTGACTTTAATGCCAGAACCGGAGGTTTACAAGACTTTATTGAAGGCATAGACCCAATGAGACAGAGAAAGACTATAGACTTTGAAGTAAATTCTCAAGGTAGACTGTTTGCAGATTTTTGTGTAACCTCAAATTTTTGCTGTCTGAATGGTCGATATACAAATGATAATTTTACCTGTGTGTCCTACAAAGGAAAATCAGTTGTGGACTATTGCATTGTACCTTACCATGACATAAATTTGTATTTCAATTTTGATGTTTTGTTAGTTGCTGATCTACTAGACAAACACTCAATCCCAGTGGTGGGTTCAGTGCCAGATCACTCAATACTATGTTGGCATTTTTACAGAAAAACAGTGTGTAGAAATAGTGATAACCAGATGCACTCTAAACCCAGTTTTCAAAATTTATCCAAGCGATACCAACTGAATGATATTAATGATTCCTTTATGTCCGATGAAGAAAGTAAAAATGCAGTAAGTGAGCTTATAAGTAAACTTAACTGTGGTCTATCATCGCAGGAACATTTGGACGATGTGTATTATGGCTTTGAAAAAGTAATCCAAAAATGTGTTCATAAATGTTGTAGGGAAAGGAAAACTAGTAGACCCCAAAAAGGTCTTCCCCATTCACCTAAGGTCTGGTGGAATGATAATCTGCAATCGTTATGGAATTGTGTTAAATGTAAACAAAAGGAATGGTTGAAGTGCAAGAATACTGAGGGTAAAAAAGTGATGTTTATTGATTACAAAAATGCACATAAGATTTTTGATAAAGCGGTCAGAAAAGCTAAGAGAGCTTACCAGTATAAAAAAATCAATGCTCTTGATGCAATGGTAAATAAAGATTCTTGTTCATTTTGGAAAGAGATTGGTCGAATAGGGTCAGATGAAGAAAAGAAGTACCAAAATATACCAATGGAAATAATAAATGATGATGGAGAAATAAGTGAAGACTATGATAATGTTATGAGTAAATGGGAAAATGATTTCCATTCTCTGTTTAAAGATAATGGCAGTGGTTTCGATGATGGGTTCTTATCACATGTTAACACACAGTTGAAAATCCTAGAGTGTAATGTTCAAGAATCTGATACTAGAGGAAATGATTTAAACCTTCCTATTGAATTAACAGAGGTGACTGCAGCTGTAAAGAGGGCAAAATTAAACAAAGCTGCCGGAATAGATGGTATCGTTTCGGAGATGGTAAAAAACAATGCTTCAATACAATTCCTTCATGCCCTCCTCTCCTTTTGTTTTGAACGTGGTATTTCCCCTACAGCTTGGCAAAAAGGCATAATCCATCCAATTTTAAAACCTGGAATGGATGAACGTGAACCATTAAGCTATAGAGGTATAACTCTGATATCGGTGATATGTAAGATTTATTGTGATATCATAAGAGAAAGACTAACTCATTTCCTTGAAAAAGAATGTATTATTAAGGAAGAACAGAATGGATTCCGTAAGAAAAGGAGTTGTCTCGACCACCTGTACAGTCTTTACTCTATGATTGAAAACAGAAAGCTTTGTAAAAAAGACACTTTTGTTTGTTTTATAGATGCAAAAAAAGCTTTTGATCGAGTTAATAGATCTTTGCTATGGTACAAGTTGAGATTAATTGGTGTTCATGGTAAGCTTTACAATTGTATACAGGCTCTTTACCGGGACACTACGTGTACTGTGAATGTTAATGGTAATCATACTAGTTTTTTTAAAGTAGAGTCAGGGGTCAAACAGGGTTGCCTTTTGTCTCCCGTTCTTTTTAACATTTTCATTAATGATTTAGTTGACAATGTCATGCTATGTAATGGGGGGATTCAAGTACTAGATACAAATATTGACATGCTTATGTATGCAGATGATATTGTGGTACTTGCTGAAAATGAAAATGACCTTCAACGTATGTTAGACAATATTGGCGCTTGGGCTCGCAAGTGGAGGATTGAATTTAATGCCTCAAAAACCCAAATTGTACATTTTAGACAGAAGTCCCAAGCTAAAACCTCAGCACTATTCAATTGTAATGGAGAAAAGCTTGATATTGTGGACTCCTACAAATACCTTGGGCTGTGGTTTGATGAATTCCTTAGCTTTCAGAAGGGTACCAGAATGCTAGCTCAGTCTGCATCCAGAGCATTGGGTGTTGTTATAAGTAAATTCAAATTGATTGGAGGCTCTTTATTCAAGACATATAAAAAACTTTATGATGCCATGATTTTACCCATACTACAATATGCAAGTGGTATCTGGGGTGTGGATGAATATTCTGTTATAAATAGTGTCTTTTTCAGAACATGCCGTTTTTACTTAGGAGTGGGGAAATATACACCTAACAATGCAGTGTTAGGGGAGATGGGTTGGGACCCACCATTCTATCACCAAATTCAATCGGTTGTTAGATTATGGAGTAACTTAAGTAAACTCAATAGTGACCGCTACCCAAGTAAAATCTTTTCTTGGTCTAAATCTCTAGCAAACAATGGAGTCAAAAACTGGTGTTTCAGAGTCAAAGAGCTTTTTTCAAAATTACAATGTGTACATGTTTTACCTTTAGCTAATCTTGTTAGTACAGACAATTTTGTAAAAACTGTGTCATCGTCATGTAAATTATTTATCGAGAATAGATGGAGAAATTCAATTTTTGACGATAAAAGGAAGAAAGCTCATGCTAAAAATAAACTTAGAACTTATCGAAATTTTAAACAATCTTTGAACACGTCAAAATATGTAATAGAATGTCAAAATAGATCAAACAGACGTGCTTTGGCTTTGTTTAGATGCGGTTGTGCCCCTATAGCTCTTGAAACTGGGCGTTATCAAAATGTCCCATATGAAGAAAGATACTGTGTTTTTTGTAATTCTAGTAACATAGAAGATGAGTTCCACTGTTTTATGATTTGTTCTGCATATAATGACATCAGATCACAACTTCTTTATGATATAATAGAACATGACCATACGTTTTCAGATCTTTCCACATACCAACAATTTATTTACCTAATTTCAGCTGACTCACTAAGCAGTTTAATAGCCAGTTTTGCAAACCAAATCCTAACAACTCGCCAAGAACTTTTGTACTACTTAAATGAATAATTTTTTTCCTTTTTTTTTTCCCCTGTGATTGTAATTATGTTATACTTATATTTGTACTATGTTATCATGTCAAATTGTTTATGACTGTTATTTTTGATGTATCACTCATAGGCCTTTTTAGGCCGGCCGTCTGATGACGGGTGTGATTTTTTAATAAAGAAAAAAAAAAAAAAACTAAACTAACATTAAAGACACATTTAAGGATGTGGCATTCGAGGAGGAATCCCTTTAACTACATGTACATCCCATTCACAATGTCTTTATCATCATTCACTGAAGCTACATATCCACCTTCCTCTGTAATGAACACATTTTCGAACAAACAGCATCCCCTAACAGCGATTTCCCCCAAGTGATCAACAACAACAAAAAATCCTCCACCTGAGATTAATAGGTTTTCTTTTCACATAATGTGGTCTTTTACCAATCTGTTGTGCATAATGTGCCTTCTATATATCTCAGTTTTCTTTTGACTACAGTGATTTAAGTATCCTTTTTCTTTAATAACAAAATGACTGGAAAATGAAGTGCAGGCACAATATTATTACATTTGTAGTGGAATTTAGATAAATAAAGCGAGGGTATAATGTTAGAGAGGAGGACAGTGGGAAGAGAAAAGATGTATATATATATATAAATAAATAGAGAGAGAGAGAGAGAGAGAGAGAGAAAGAGAGAGAAAGAAAGAAAGAAAGAAAGATAGACAGAGAGAGGTAGATATAGAGGGAGAATGATAGGGAGGAGGGAGGGATGATAGTAAAGTATATAGAAATATAGGGAAAGGGTTAGAAAGGAAGGAAGATGGAGAAAGACTTTGGAAGGAAAGAGAGAATGAGACGGACAAAGGCTAGAGAAAGAGAGAGAGAAAGAGCCATATAGAGAGACACACAGAGAGGGGGTGGGGGAGAGCACCGGAGAGGTATTGTAGAGAAATACGTATAGCATAACTCTGTTTCGTTGTGGAAAAAAAATGATTGTGGATTTCCTGGAAGTCAAGATAATTATTTCGATCAAGTCAGACTAATCGATATGAATCTCTGCCCCTAGTGATAGTACATTCTCATCGGGACATAGGTATACATAATTATATTGACATAGTTCTCATGAAATTGTGTTTTAAAGGTAAGTTGCACCGTTGTCAAAGGAATTATACCGTATCCATGAGCAGACAATAACCTTTAAAGCATATAGAATGTCTTGGTTCTCTGTAGATATTGCCTAAAGATTTCTGAAAGTGTAATCTTTCAAAGTTTTGTTTTCTTCTGGTTTTAATAAAACGTTAAAACAGTTATGTTAATAGTAAACGACATAGGCTTTAAACCTGTCAAGTTCAAACAAATTAGTAGACTTAACGTGATTACATTTTTATCTATGGGAAGGGTCGTATGTTTAATATTTTGAGTGAACAATGACTACAAAATCCATTTTTAGACAAACTATCTTACAGAGGGATTGTTTGTTTTTTGTTTAATATTAACCTGTTTATTATTTGGTATGTCGATGTCCCGAACACTAGTTTTTCAATAAATATTTTGTCTTCCCTCACAAATAATTTTCTTGACAAGAAACTATTCCAATCATCCTTTCCCATAAAGGGCAACATATGTTTTCGAACATTGTTTCCATTTTCAACACGGTCAATTATCATATAGGTAGAGAAATACTTGGGTTGAATACGTCATTTTCATAATTTCATTATTGTGGACGTAACAGTATATCTTAAATTACACTCCTCTGGCAATGAGACAGACCTTTTCCCACCGATTTGTTTTCTCTTCTTCTAACTAAAGGCCTAAAATCTTTTCCCCCCACAGGAATTGGTGATGCCACGCACTGATTAGAAATATATCATAGTGCTGCTATTATAGTAAAAAAAATTCTAATCCCTTAATTAACGGGGGCGGCAACTGCCCCAATTTCCCCGAGAATTAATGCTTCTGGATATGCTTGGTATATACTACCGTCCGGCTGACATTTGAGTAGCAGCAAATGTCACTTCTTTCCGAATAAAGATGACACTAAAGTGCTTTTAAGCGGCAAAAAGAAAGGAATGTTCGCTCGTGTGACTTTCCACGCAGCGAGCGTGTACTTATCGCACAGGATCAAAGAATACCTGACTAAATCATCGGTATTTCAGCCTCAAACGCGGAAAATAATCGTTCACCTTGTTCACGGTGCCCTTTTCAATGTATTCCGTCACCCTTAAGTGTTGGCACTAGATTGTCAAAAAGTAGAATGCCCTTTGTACGATACTTTTATCAAGAAAGGTTAAACTTACGAATGTATTTTATCACTAATTGACAGATGTACAATCGGAAAAATTCGCAAAACCGACCTAAATCACTGGCAAATCCACACTTAAAGTGTCAAAAACATTCATTTCTGTTCTGCCTCCTAAATCTACATGTTTTCTCCAGGGGGCAGGGCACCGCCATTTACACGGGAAATATTGATGTAGAGTTAATCTGCTATGTCAACACGACTTTATGCCTACCATAGTGTTCCCGATGTCAGGAAAATAATAACAATGCTTGTTGAATAGGTGTGCTTTTTGACTGGTGAGGTGATGGTGTCACGCGATATACGGATACCCCAAAGGCGCCTTATAAGCCGAGAGAGTGTGGGGAGTGTCGTGGTTCGGTAGCTTAGATCTATACAATTTTGCAGAAGTTCAAAGCTTAATTTACTGTTGTTTATATAATTGCTATCATAGCTGTTAATTATTTACACTGTTGGTTTAAGATAAATCGAGAAGATTGACATACATAAATATAATTAGATTTCAAAACATTTTTTCATTTTTGTTTAATAGTGAGAATTGTGATGCTGTATACCGTGGCATTGATTGTAATTCAAGAATGTCGTTAAATAGGATGTTTCTGTTGTTGTTAAAGTTAAAGCTAACAGAACCATACGAAACGTGGGAATGACGTATTCAGTAAGACTGACATATAAAGATAGCAATTGAAATAGACCAGTATAGGCATATCACAAGAAATGGCAATTTAATTGTATGAAGATTAAAATATCTAACACAATACAACAAAAGACTAAAAATATGCCTTCCTTGTGTAAACATTGCATACCGGTAAATATACACACGCACATGTACACAAAGAGGAACGTAGCATGTATTTGCAAATAGATTCCTGTTGACTGTTGATGCATGGTTGTATTGACCACCTCCACCTGTATTGGTATATAAAACATATTGCGGAACTCTGAACACATACACATATGAATATATTTAAGTGGCACACCGTATACCGACCGAGATTGAATGCTCAACCTAGATGGTGAAATGAGATTATGTCCGAAAATACTAAAAAATGCCTGACACATTTCAAAAGTGCATCCATATAAAACATCTCAATACCCTTTTAGGGGGCGGAGAAAAATAGGACCTTGGTATGAACCATAACAATTTTGGGGAAAGTACATTTCGCACGTTTGGCGCCATTTCAGTTCGATTATTTCTATCCTTCTGTGGAATGCAGGTCAGTCTAAGTACCCAGGCTCTGCGTGCTTGGAAGATGAGAGTGTTTCTATCTTATGATCGAGAGGAAAGCAAAATCAATTTAGGACCCATAATTGGAGTTTTTATTTACCACCGTCTTTCCCCCCTACTCCCCTCGACGTGACACCGTCTAACAACTCCTTGTTTTACGGGGGCTGTGAGAGACGGAGGTGGAGGCTTGCAAGAATGAATTTAAAATGGAAAAAATAGAATATAAAAAATGTCACCGAAAAGTCATTGAATGAAAATGATAAGCTTTTCAGGGAAATCAGATATGAGTATGTGTATATTAAATGACTGAGAAAGAGAGAGAGAGAGGGGGAGAGAATGGGAGAGAAAAGAGTTAGACATGTAGAAGAGAGAAAGGGAAGTGAAGAGAGAGAGAGAGAAGGAGATTTAATGAGAGAAGCAAAAGAACGAAAGCAGAAAACAAAATATGATGATGATATAGTGAAAAAGGAGGAATCCGAAATATTCGAAGAAGACCACAAAAGGTATAAGGTTTCCTTAGGAGTAAGAATACGATAAAAAAAAAAGTGAAAATAATAAGTGGATGAGTGGAAGAATTTGGGAGTTATCATTTCAATATAGTATATCAATGAAGAGAATGGCGTTTGGAATATTGGGTGGTGCACACGAAAGGAATCAAAATGATAGAAAAGAATGGGGTCAGATTAGAATCTAAATGTTTTAGAGGAGGTAGTCATAGAATCTACAAAAATATCAGTGGGGACTTAAAGGGATATGGATTGAGATACAGAGAGAAAGAGAGAGAGAGAGAGAGAGAGAGAGAGGCTGGATGATGGGGGAAAGAGTTGAATATAAAAGTGAGGAAGATGCACAGACGCTAAAAGCCAATCGCAAACGCTTGCCGTTAGGTATCAATATAGTATAACCCCAAAATTAATTAAGAGAGCAGAAAGGCAGTCATGATTAAAGTAAACTATCCTCGTTGATTGGCAGGGTAGACGGAATAAATGCTTAAAGGGGATCTAGGTCAACTACTGTCCATTATTAAGGATCCACCCTTTCTTGATGATTAGCTCAATATAAGCGTCAACTTGGTTATAAAGGCATTCGATTCCTAGTATTGGCCTCAAGGATAGTAAGACTGGGGTGGGGTGGACATTTTTTTGAGAGAGAATAATGGACAGAATGATTTGATCATACTCATCGCGTATTCGACCATCAAGACATCGATTTTCAAATATATGTCATTACTACTTGAATTCTCAAATGGCGAATTGTAACGGTCCTTCAACACAGAATCAAAAAATGATTTCGGGGAACACCGAACGTGGACATTCTTCAATGATTAAAGTTCTCAAATACAAAATAAACACGATCGCGAAATCTTCTAGAAATCAATATAAGGGCAATGTCGTAACCCTATTGTATGTCTCATACAAATCATGTTCGGATTAGGTTATATTTCATTGTAATGTTGTTGTTTCCTTTTTCGGGGGGGGGGGGGAGAGAAGGGTTAGAATTGTTGGTATGTCCCCCGAAATGATTACATCACAGTTGGGTAATTTGATGTATAATGCCTGCCAAACAGCCATTTATATATATTTTCGTCTGTCCTTGGATATTATCATCAGCGTGAACATAAATTTGGCAAACGACCGAGGGCCTATGAGATAAATAAGACAAAAATATATTCAAATGACCGGTAATATTCTTACTAAATTCCGTCTCGCGAACCATCAGAAGAGAGGAGAGCCTGAGTGAACGAACTTTCCGGGCTCGTGTGCCTTTTCGAGGGAAAGAGAGGGTGAGGTAGGGAGAGAATAAAAAATGAAAGGAGAGAGGAGAGGGGGGGGGGGGGGGAGTCAGAGGAATTATATGACCCCCTGCCAGACCAACGTATTTCACACACCAAGTGAAACCTGTGCCCCACCCCATGACCCAAACTATTGTCTGGCGATGCGGGATGGAGAGGAGTATGGTATATGTCCACACCCTTCAAAAATGTTATTTCCTGTTTTCAAAATGCCAATAATGATCATTTAATTTTGTTTAGATGGGTGACAACAGGTGGAGGTAAATGAATAGTTATCTTACCCCTGATGTATCCTTGGGGTACCAATTCTCTGTCTGGATGCCAATGGTAGAAACCTGAGAGGGGTGCTTTATTCCGTCAAGTGCATCCACGTCCACGGATGGAGCTACATTAGGAGCAGCTACGTTATTATTCTCCACCACAAGCCCATTGCTGCGTTTCCCATCTGATGGTGTTGGTTGAAGCCTAACCTCGTCCAGTGAGGTATCAAATGATGCGGATGCTGTTCCGTTCACATCAGGAGGAACGGGTATCTGTTGATGTTGAGAGTGATGCGATCCGCCGTTCGCGGGCTTAGACTGACAGCAACCCATGGTGACAGGTGGGACGGACGCGTGTCCGTCTGGTTCGGGGGTTTAGCTTACGCACTTATGTAAGGATGGTGGTCAACCTTTTCTATGCTGACATGTTAGTCCACGTATGACGACATGATGAGAGGATATCTGAAATAAAAAAATTGGAAAGAGGGAAAGGTCATTAAATAGTGTAACATATTTTTTATTACTTCATTTTTGTGCAATATTCTTTATTTTGAAGCTTATACTGAGACTTTACATAGATACAGGTCCTTACATCTCCTCATGGTAAAAAAAAATCCCGAAAAAAGTTCTGTAATGACATTACATCTATTCTCATCATAAATATACGCTAGTTCACATTATAAACCATACCTTTAAATCTCCCTACGACAGACATGCTTTTTATTGTAGGATCAAACCAGGAGCCTGATACACGTGCATGCTTTTACACACTGCTTTAAAACATTGAGAGTGCACATGCTTTTGATTTATTCGTATATAATTGACGCAAGAGTTGCAGAATGTGCTAGCACATAATGAATTTACAATACCCCTAGGCTACATTAAGGAAGACTAATGAGACAATATCATTGAAATCATCGGTTTAAAGGAAAAGAACCCTCTGATAATAAGTCGATTTTATAAAGTAGAAACGGAAGCAGATCAGTGAAAGTTTGAGGAAAATCAATAAAGGAGAAGCAAGTTATGAATTTTTGAAGGTGATAACCAATTAAACGCAAACCGGCAACTCTATGACATGTATTTTGAGCAGCTCTTCCTTTTATACAAATTTATTCATTGTATATGTGTTTTATTTTCTCTTCACAACCCTCTATGAAAAGGATTTATGTTTTCATCAACACTTATAGAAATGGAAATTTTCCTGAATTTCTAGTATAACAACAAACTTGACAAAATGGGAAACGTTTTGAAAGACACGTCACAAGAGCTACTAATTTGCATTTTGATTGATTACAATTTTCAAAATTAACAACTTATTATCATTCTTTCTTCAAACTTTACTAGTTTATCTGATTATTTCACTTTTAATAATACTTAACAAATGGATTAGGTGGACTTCCACTTTAACTTAAAATATTACATGGGTTTATAACCGTATGAGTATATTGTATTATATATTCTATGTCTATATTTAGGCCAACTTGTGAAATTTGTATGAGTTATTTATTCTCCAAGCATGCAAATGTCAACTCAGATTGGAGTTGAATTTAAGATGTATTCTACTCTAAATGTGGGATGACTGCAATTTCGAGCAAGAAGAAAAAATTCCTTCATTTTATACCTTAACTTTATTACTCCTGTATATTACTCCTTTCAAATTATCCATATGATCACATGATAATGTAAAGCCATACGCATCTTCCTTCCGCCTTGACCATATAGATATATGCATATTTTTTATTATTACCCCTTATCTTATTCATCTGATGGTATCAGTCCCTACTACCAATCTTAATGAGGTAGGAGGATACCCCCATGGGAGATCTTCCTCCCAGGGAACTCCATAATTTTGGACTGATGGATACGATGATAATATTGAATGGTATTGTGTGCGGGGCCGAAGAACACTATTCCAATCAAGCCGATATTCCAATTTCTACAAATGGACGACAATGATTGCCATGCAGGGAATGGAAAGGATGTTTCAGACAAGCTCATTTTCCACTTATATTAAGGTGGAATGTCTTTTCCTCATTATGTTATAATTCCGACTCGGATTTGGGGCAATGTAATTACAGTGAATAATCAGAATAGAATGTTCAAAGCATTTCCTCGTTCGGTATCCTCAATTGTTCTAAAAAGTATAGGATGTAGAATTCATAATAGTATACAATGGATTTCTAGCTCAAGTTTTCATCCTTATGAATGGTAGTTAGTACCGTTATGCTTGTATAAATTATGTTTTATTATTATGAACGATCCCTTTTTTGCTGGCATATTTCTTTACTATCGGGGCATCTTTTTTTCTGGAAAATATAGGCGACTCCAAACATAAAGGTGCTGAAACTGTAACATATGGGAATTTGATCGATACTGTGTTAACACCATACTTGGAGGGTTACGTGCAGTGCGTGCATTGTATGGTTTTGGTGAAGCTCTATTCGAGAGTACACGTCAAATTATCATCAACATTGTTAGAGACAAATCAAAATAACAAGAAAACAATAATATCAAGAGAGAGTAAGCAAGAAAGAGAGAGAGAGAGAGAGCGAGCGAGCGAAAGATGGAGAAGGGGGGGGGGGGGTGGCGTCAATGGGGTTGCTGCAGAAACGTGTCGACAGAAGTTTATCAAAATCTTTGTCTTAAAATATGTCAAATCACCTGCAACTTTTTTGTTGAAAAGTACAGAGTAGAGTAATTGCAATATGGTTCGTGGATTTGACATTGGCTATTGACTTATGGGAGTGATCATAGTTCAAACTATTATTCACACTCCGCTTAATCAAGGTCATGGCCACTACTATATACTATTCATCTTTTTATACATGAATGATATTTATCCTTAAATTCCTTTGGAACTTAAAATGACAGATTTATATTTCTGGTATTATTCTCCCCTTCATATGTCGGGCTGGAGATTAAAATTCCTTTCGTTCAAGGTCGCGGACGAAATCGTGACTTTTGTCAAATTTGAGCGCGGGATGATTTACGGGGATTAACTCCTGAAATAATACAAAACACGGTCCATCAGCGCCGACAGAGAATAGTGTGTTTTTGATCTAGTTTCGTAAAAATTATATATTCAGTCGGATATTGTACCAATAAAAGATAAATTTTGTCCTTTAATAAAAATATTTCTTTCAAACTTTTCAATTACACCTGTTGACCCAATTATCATTGCCAAGATAGTCTATAAACCATTCAACTGCAAGAAGGGGGCAATGATGTTGTTTGATTGGGTTTTAAAGCGATTCAGTAAAAATTGACTATTTATGCCTTAAACGTGTGTTTTGGGCCTTTTATACCAATAAAATTTCGACGCTTATCGCAGCAAAAAGCATGCAACTCAGCCTTTGGCTGCGATATGTTGATGAATGAATACCCTAACTTACCATACGATTAGCAGTAATCTACAAGGTTCCAAATACTGGTATGAGATGCACAATGGTACTTCTGTTTTCTTTATGGAAATTGCACATCTTTTGCCATTTGTAATCACACAAGTCATATATCAATTATGGAAAGCTTCGTCAATTGTCATGTGCGATTGGCCAAGTAGAGCTACAGTGATTTTACAAGAAGTACGATTCACATCGACAAGTTGATTTATACAATTTAATTTCAGCGTCTGTTAGCTGCATATTGTGCTGCTCATGCTAAAACATCGACGGTATTTCATACTCGATAAAGCAACAATCTATATAAATATCCTTTATAGGCACATCTAGATTAGGGAATGTCACCGTTCGTTTAAGAAGGTGCTTTTAGTCGCAGATGCCATGTTTTTAAGTTCGCATATTTATAAAAAAATCCCGACTTAGATGGCCATTACGTGAAACCAATTTCAAATAAAAAAAACAACATTGAATTCGAAGCAAATCAAGCGTAAAATAAGCTTTTGCAATAGAGCAAATGCTCTCCTGTGATTTTCCTGTTGTTTGAATTTTCTTACTGAAATACATGAAAGCCTCTTCGTACCTGGAGTACACATCGATGTCTGTTCAATTGGTTTGTCATCAAAATTCTCTTGCAAAATACCATTCATCACCATTGTTTTCGTTGCTTCATGGATCGCAGAATGTTCAATACCAATATCCAATATCAAAATGTACGCAAAACAATATTGACTGGATGGCTGCATATCGAACACTCTCATTTCGATTTTCGTTTTTTTTTTTTTAGGTTCCGGGAAATGATTGATGAACGGATATTGAGTTAGCTCTGCACTATGACTTTAATTATATTGAATCTGTAAAATTCGAAAGGGAAAACGGGTCAGCTTCCATACATTTGATTTTCCATAGCCACTTATTGGCAACGATCGGGGTTTTGAAACATACCTCCATCCTATGCATGACATGTGCTTTTTGAGGCAGTCATGTTGGTTTGCATTGGACATGTCGGATAGAGTGTGGAGGTGCGTGTGGCTACTGCTATCGAGAGTAAGGTTAAATTATGGGAATATTTTTCTGCTTTAACTTGGCACGTCAGTTGAAGATATATGAATTTATCCAATGCGCTAATCCTAAGGTTAAAATCGATGAGATCGATACGTGAAAGTTCTTTATACCGTTAAGTTGATCTGATTTGATTAAGAAATGAATTTAGTACTCCAATGTAGACCATGCTTGATATAGTAATTCTATTATATCTATAAAATACAGAAGGCTAATTATTTCCATGAAATTCTATAATGTTTCTAGATTAATAGCTTAAAACTCAGCAGTAGAAATATCATAAGCACTTGGCCAAATCATATTTTTATTGTTATGTAAGACGGATTCAAATGTAGTCCCATAATATCTATGAAATATAGTAGTTATTTCTATGAAAAATGTTACCGTTAGTTCTGCACAACAACTAAAATCTCAACAGCAAATGGTCATAATCACATGGCTTAGTTTTACATCTTATTATGATGGTTACGTAATATGGGCTCGCCATTGTGTTCAGCTGTAGTCGATATTACCTATCAAGTAGAGCAGACTGATCATAGAGGGGTCAGCAAGACAAATAGTATGACGACACAAGAAAAGAATGATAATGTTTGTCTGGAGCAAACATGGACGTGTGTAACAACCCACCAGCTGAGTTTTAATCCTTTAAGTATATTGTAAAAGGCTTCTTGAAATCTCTCCATCACACCATGTTTTTAAATCAGGTGTCTTCTTTGAAATTGATTGGGTATCTTGCGATAAGAACCATTGATATTAAACATCTCTTAACAATTTTGAGTACGAATATTGCCCGATAAATACTTCAATTACGAGACGTCATACGAAAGAAGACATGGTAAATCATAATAAATTGTAAACTCTTTATAACTCCTTTCATACTGGTTTGTTATACAGTGCGTCCCAGCAAAAACGAAACCGAGTATTATTGATGTTTCATCATAACTTTATCACAATTATAATTAATAAATGTCACATATTTGTAAAGCTTAGATCCTCATCTTTCAT